TAGGCTTGTGTAGTTCGCGAACGAACTAGTTCAAAAGAGCGCTCCCACATTCAAAATATGCGAACTAGTTCACGTCATTCCCAACTCCTTAGTTCCTTAGTTCGTATTTCAAAGTACAAGTACAAGGATTGTGAAGTCGTTTATATGTATAGTCTATGGTGAAGAACGAACTAAAAAATGCGATAACATATTATGATCTCACTTGAAAATTATATAATATTTCATTGCGTGCAGGAACTTGCATCAAAACTAGGGAGCGATTTGGCTGCCAGTGCCTTCCTACTTCCTATGCGATTCATTCCGATTCCAAATCCAACTGGGAGTCGGGAGCTGACGAACTAGGGAGCGATTTGGTTGCCAGTGCCTTCCTAGTTCCTATGCGATTCATTCTAATTCCAACTCCAACTGGGAGTCGGGAGCTGACGAACTAAAAGAGCGAACTAGTTCGTTTAGGAGCGGCGAACTGATCTGAGTGATCTTAGTCGCGAATTATTAAGCACAAGACTATTTAGTAAGATTTAGCTCAATCTCATTTATCTCGCGACATCTCGTCCATATTTCGTCCGTATCGAGATTTATCTCGGAAATTCGATCAAAACGATGCTGCCTAAAGTTTCGCGGTCGAAGTTGGGAGCAAAAGTTAGTTTTTTAATGAATTTAAGTAGTTTATTACTCTTACTTTAACGTAAGTAACTGTGACATAACAATTGAAAGAAACAACCAGTCTTCATTTCTAATATCAAATAAAAATCTTATAGTAAGGCAATCTCGTTAATCTCGCGAGATCTCAGTCATTTTTCGAAAGAGGACAACTCGCTAAAAAGGAACGAGATCTCATTCGAGATCAGATCGAGGTTGCATTCCCTAGTCGTGTCGATTGATCAGCGAATCTGTGAACCTTTGGGAAAGATCACAAACTGAGCTGCGAGCGTAGTACTACTTACTGGTATCAGCATGCGTAGATTTGAACGCGCCGCCTGTTGGCTGGAAACCCTTCGGTCCACCAGGACTAGACGCTGTAATACCCCCGAGGAGATTGTCTGAAGAACCAGCCCTGAAAATCGAAAAAGCGCAAATTCACGAACTTGATAAGTACGCCAGCACCGCTATCCTCAAACATTTTGAAGGTAAGTTAAAGTTTTCAATAATAATAATAATATTTCATATTTATGACACACCTTATTGTAAATATGTCAATATTTGTCGTATTGCAATATTAAAAGAAAAACCCCTTATACAATGATTTTCGGCAAAGATTAATATATCCAAAGGCCGGTGAGTCAACAACAACAATCAGTCAATACAAGCACTGAAGACATATTCAATTTATGTCATCTGTGTCGATGTTACATAGTTTGGTAGTAGTGTCCCAGGTAGGTGTCACTTACCTAGCTTTGATGGGTTTGGGTCTCCTAGTGTGGTCGTGGTGTGACGGCAAGTAGTCCCGCGTGTCGAGGCCTTCAGAGTCCGAGTCGGTCACTTTTTCTCCACACTTCAGGTCAATCTCTAGGTTTTGTACTGCTGGCGGAGGTTCTTCTGTCTGTGAAGGCTGTAATTGTACATAGTACGTTATAAACTAAGTTTAAATATTTCAATTACATATTTATTAGTCTTACAAATACTAAAAGACTACTCAATATTAAGTTGTACTTAAATATCGTGCCACCTCTGTCATTTTGCAAAGAATTTGTAGTGACAGAACTATACTCAATCGCGACTTAAAATTTGGCGTTTTAATATTTAGTCATTACTCGTGTGAATTGGGTACTTGCCTACATCAAAAAAAAACTATTTCTACTATTCAATACAATAAGATATTAAAAAAGAATCACACTTTCATTAATTGATTTTATGACCAATTTAATTTTAATATTTTTCCAGCAAATTTTTAAGAAATAAGTATGCTGTTTGATGCTAAATAAACGTGGCGTCACAATACACAATATCGTACAAAATTCATAGAAAACTGTCGTTTTTGACAGTTCGAAAAAAGTATTAAATTTGACTAGTTGGCAAGTACCGAATTAAATATTTCGAAGTTTAAAGCTGGCTAAAGTCACAAACAGACTTCATTGTGAGTTACGTCCATGACGCTCAAGGGAATGTTGCGCTGGGTAACAACAAAAATTTCGACTTTTGATTGTGAAACTACAACTGATAATTACAATACGTACCATTTGCTCATCGTCACTAAGCTGCGGAGATCCCAAATGGTTGTATGACGCAACAGGCACCGGCAGATCTGCATTGATCGTGACAGAACCGCTGGTGACCACCTCTGAAGGCGTTCGAGGACTCTAACAATGAAAATTTAGACTTATAACAAATAGGCTACCAAACCTCAAACATGGGGTATCGTACAGATTCCTGAGTTCAGACACCTATCATTTAACTTTTGCGAGTTTTGAAAATTCTCTCCAAATGCTTCCTAGGTTTCCAGACTCCTATCTGGATTTGTGTCCGATGTATAGTAGTCTAACTGACTTAATAAAGTACTTGTTAATAAAACACATTAATATCTTTCTGAGTATGAATTTACCTGTGGCATGGACCCAGTAGGATCTTTACTGCTGGAAGACTTCCTTCTATCCTTGTTGCACCATTTCCACTCTGGGTGAGCTTTGAAATGTGCTTCTTTTACCTGAAAATAAAGACAATTATTGTCAAAAGACGTCGTGGCGGCCTGAGCTATGTATGCCAGCTTCCTAAGGTAGATGTCGAGGTTTTTAGGGATAAATGTAACACAATCAGCCTGCCTAACAAAAAAATCCCGAATAAGTATTTTAAACATACTAACCTCGCTGGCGAGTTCGTTGTACTTCTGTTTCTCTTCAGGCTTCAGTGAGTACCACCACTCGCCCAGGATCTTGCTGACAGTACGGTTGTCTTGGTTGGGATGCATTTGATGCACTATCTGTCGATGACGCTTTGAAAAGATCATGAACGCATTCATCGGACGACGGATACGACGCTCCTTCTGTAATACGGAAAAAAATTGAGATAAAAAATGCATTTTATAATGTTGTGAAAGAAACCATATTAAGGCCTACGTCTCTTGTCAGCAGTGGACGATATAAAAGACTATACATAAGTCAAAAATAGTTTAGACAAAAGTTACATTATGTAACCTAATAATATCCGGTGTCCCAAAAATCATACGAGAAGTACAGCTTTGGAAACAAAATTATTACTATTTGAGGTCGCCAGTATCGTAGAACAGTTTGAGCAGACCCGTTCTGATGGCAGCACGCATGTGTCCATTTATAATTAGCTGTGCTGTAGTTAGCTGACTGATCCGACGAATAATATCAACTAAAATAACATTTAGGTAGGTCACACAAATGCTCAAACTATCAGAACGTAAGTAACTGAAAGTGCTTTTTAAAAATAAAAGTTAAAGCATTTATTTCAATTAATACTCAATTAGGCAATTTTGAAACGTCAAAAATTGAATTGTCCGTCCGTCTGTCCGTCAGTGAGGCTAGGCGCTCGTTCCAAAGTATAGTTATACTTATTATACTCTTTGGTGTAGTTTCGAATGGAGAAGAACGAGCAAGAAACTCCATCGATACTCTTTTGAAAAAAGGCTAGACTAGGCTAGGCAGTACTCACACGGTACTTACACTAAAACTTGTAAAAAAAATAAAGATTTTAAACTTTACGTTTAGCAAAATGTCTTTCGAGACTAACAACAAAGAAAGTACTAATATTGAAAAGAAAACTTCAGTACGTTACCTTTTCCTGCGTGGCAGGTGAGTTAAGCGCCGACGTATTCTGTGATGGTCGCTTGTTGGGGTCATCTCCGCCGACTCCGGAGTCCTCGGACTCAAACACCTCGTCATCCTCATCCATACACATCGGAGGGTCTGGGGAAAAGCAATAAGATAATGACTGGTTTCCTTTAAACATTCGTTTGCATGCAAATCAATGACAGTAAAATTTGATCTCGATGCATCCGCCTGATCTTTTAGGCATATGTTTGCTATATAACCATCGTATCGCTTTCATACTCAACCTGACATTCCAAGCTGTGTTAAGCTTTTACTCCTCCTGAAACTTAATAAAAATGGAGAAAGAGTTTTTTGTTAAGGGGACCATATCATCGAATGACTTATCCCGTCTGGGTGAGGCGGGAGGGAGTGTAGTGTGTGTGACGCCTTGCTCTATAAGAAAGTAGTGTAAGTTAGATATTAAGATACTCAAATAAAGTTATTCCTAACAACAACACGTCTCCCTCATTGCTCCACATTGCAGGAGTGTCAGACTCTTACTGACTAAAAACCACCCCGTTTCCTCTCCTGCACTTCGAGCCGGGGCCTACCGGGGCTCCGTTAGGTTCTCCGCGACAAATAGAGAAAGACAGTGAAAAATATAGATAAATGAGATATTTACCGCTAGCCTCGGTTTTGATCTGATCCTCAGACTTGATTAGTGGGGCGGGCGTGTGTGGCGTGTGAGGCGTGTGAGGCGTGTGCGGCGTGCGCGGCGTGCGCGGCGTGCGCGGGGACGGCGGCGCGGCCGGCGGCGCGGCTCCCCCCGCCCCCGCCGCGCCCAGCAGCGGCACCAGCGACTGCCACGGGAACGTGTTGCTCGACACTGCCGCGGGGACCAATCGAACTAATCACTTATTTGTGAACTTACATCATTCAGTCTTAGGAAATACATTGCATACCGACAACTACGACACATATGTTTGAACTACCTAAAATAACATTAAGATTTAATCTTGAAAGTAACGTCTTCAGATCAATTTTAAAGTTCATACATGAAATGGATATTGCTGTCGGACCTTCAAGACCACAACTTTGTTTTGATTGAAAACAATAGGGTAGACGACTAATTTTTATTTTAATGTCCGTCTGGTAGATTATTTAAAAACATTAGACACGTATTTTTTATTTTCTTACGGAAACAAATAGTTTCGAAGATATATTGATTTGAAATGTCGCGTGACGTCACTTCTCAGTACATTTTATACTAAGAAATGACGTTTTAGCCCCCACTCCTAAACATTGATTCGTTTTATCTAAGTATTGTTTTATTATACGACAAAATAAAAAAATACGTGTCTAATGTTTTTTAATTACCCAACTTACGGACTAATTATATTTTTAATTTTCATACCCTGTCATCATCCCAATTGTCTTGTGAGATATCTTTACCCTTCATAAGGGCCCCCATACCAATTTGTATATGGGAGCAAGGGACGCTACGCTACTAGTCTTTTCCAGAATCCCAAACTAACATTGTCTTGAAAGTAAACAAAAATGGTACAATAAACTATATGCTTATGGCATTTACATCAAAAACATGGCCTTTGAGATTAGCTTCTCTAAATATTCCCAATTATATAAAAAGAGGTTGAGTTATAAATATATGTCGTGTCACTCGTAACAATACAATAACAGCGATACGTTAAACGCTACTCACCGATGATAGTGTGCGAGGCGGGCGGCGGTAAAACCGGTAGCAACTGGTTTGGGTGCACTATCACTGCACTGTTGTTCACGTTGTTTACCTACAAATATGGTGTTTCATCAAAATATCGTACACATACTAACTTCTGTTCGCAACTTTGTACGCGTAAAGTAAAATAGTGACTTAAGGCAGATTTTTGAATTATACGATTAATTAGCTGCTTCTGTTATTTTCCGGTGACATATATGGAAAAAAATTAATCGTTGCATGTGTTGCTGGCGTAAATCTCGAAAACAGCCGCAGCTTAACCAAATATTTAAGTACATATCTTTCACATTTTTTTTTATTTTTTTTTTATGGCGTAAGCCGGTAAACTAGCAGACGGATCACCTGATGGTAAGCAATCGGCGTTGCCCATGGACACCTGGAACACCAGAGGCGTTACAAGTGAGTTACCGGCTTTTTGGGGATTAGGAGTATGAGGATCGTTGGGGATTCAGGGATTGGGGAGATTGGTTCAATTTTAAAATGATTTTTTATTTTAAATAGTACATTGATTAAGGAAGGCTATAGGCTATAAATCATCACGCTACGGGCTTTAGGAGCCCAGCAGAGCGGACGAAACCGCGCGGAAATAGGTAGTAAATAATACATACATGATCCCCGTTATCTAATCCCCGATGTTCCGGCTCGGAGTCATTGTTGTTGACTTGTTGAGTCAGATGGTTTATACGCTGCTCTATCTGAAATATCAACTACTGTTAAAGAAGGTATTTGTACATACATAACATAACATAACATCACGCCTTTTATCCCCGAAGGGGTAGGCAGGCAGAGGTGCACATTATGGCATTGTACAATGTAACACCCACTTTTCACTATTTATGTTATGAGTCCCATGTAATGGGAGTGAGCGTATTGCCATATATCGGGCTCTATTCCAGACTCCGTGCAACTACTGAGATTTTTTTAAAAACCCAGTAATACTTTGCCCGACCCGGAAATCGAACCTGAGACCCCTTGCCCGGCAGTACATGCGACCACTCGTAGTTGCACTTATTAAATAATCTCTAAAATTATTAGATACAACCTTATTTCTACAACTTAGAGTACACTTTTACCATGTCATTTACCATCAATGTTTTTCAGTTCAGTAGGTATCAGAGAAGATTTATTAAGTTCCACGAACTATAAGACAGACAGCGTCAATAACTAAGTAAATAGTAGTAGAATGAAACCCATTGCAAAACGAAGAAAATGCGCTGTTTACTTATTTGTGACATTTTTATTGCACTCCGTTAAAAACTCTGAAAAGTGGTTTTATTAATCGTCCTTGCATTGAAGGCTGGTCGTGGTCAAATTTCGGACTTGCTTGGGAATCGACAAGCGCTCGATTTTTGAACATTTTTGAGCATGCTCAAATGGCACAATAGAACGCATTTTAGCATGCTATTTTAGTATACATGTGTAACAGTACCTTTATGCATTAAGGCGAATGAGGGTGTCAAAAAAGATAAAAAAATACAAAATTTTGAATTAATAGAACATTTACACGAATACGTCAGCTAGAAAAAGTAATAATAATATTATACCGGTGATGCTTGTCCTACTATGCCACTCAAGACTCATAATTATAAATACTACTTACTTGCACAGTCTCCCCAGGCTCGTTCTTAATAAACACATACTTCTTGTCTGGGGTACTCTGAGGCAGCATGGTGACGTAATATCTCTTCACAGGATCCTTCACATCGGGCTCCACGACCGACAAGAACCGAGCCTGCAACGGCGCCGGCTTTACAATCCTCTTATTGTCCTCCATTACGCGAGTCTCGGATAGTTCGGGCGGCCGAGTATCAATAACATTGCGGAGTATGTTGTTCTCTCTTTGCGACACTGCATCGTCATCGTCGTCGTACTCCGAGACTCTTCTATTGAGAAAATTTTCATGATTGTTCTGTGACGGCGACATGTCAGTGTCGCGGCGGTATGGCTCATGGATCCCGTTCCTGTGGAGTGGCTGGGTCCGGTATATCTGCTCTACGTCTATCCCGTTCGACGTCGGGATAGTCCTCGGTACTATCAAGTTGTGTGCCAGCTCGTTGGTGTTACGAATAGTGTTTGCAATGCTTGTCTGCAAGTTTTGAGTGTTCAAGTTGTTCAGATTGAGCGATATACTTGAAGGCAGAGTGAGGCTGGATAGAGTTGTTGTTGTAGCATTAATGCTAGTATGTATTGTGTTTTGCAGGTTCAGCCCTGAAGTTTGAACACCAATCACATTTGATTGAGAGGCATTATTCGTCTGAACTATTGTTGGGCCGTTTCTATTCTCGACCTAGGTAGAGGAATACGTTAGTTTAGCACAAGATTAATTGTTTATAATTATATTGTAGTTAGGATATATTGAAAGGTACCTGGTAATGATAGTTAGGTCCTGGCGACACTCTGATGACGCTTGTGGCGACCCCACCGACCGGTGAGTTGACTCGACTAGGTCGGACTAATTCTGGCCTAAAATTAAAGAAGGTAAAATTTAATTTTTCCTCCATTACCACTATCATAAAATCCTAAATCTTCAAACTATTTAAATAAAATATAAAAATATGATCTCAATTTTTCCAGAGAATGTCAAAGTCAAAGCATTTATTTCAATTAAACCATAATTTGGTACTTTTGAAACGTCAACAAATACAAATTAAATAATAGTCTGTCAGTCAGTCCGTCAATGAAGCTAGGTGAAGCCAGGTGTTCATTCCAAAATGTTTATTGACATCAAGAGTGATGTAAAGGAAAAAGGATATATATTTGTAATAATCAATATGAGAGAAAAATTTACGAGGTATGAAGTTAGGATGAAGAAGAATGAAAAGTTTAACATGTGAATTATGTCAGGGTTAACGTAAGTCGCAAGTTTATGAAACATTTCATAGTGATTGTGATATTCCAAAGCAACCTGATAAGATGGTGGTGGTAGAGGGCGGCCGGGTGATGCGGCTGCGGCTGCGGCGAGGAGATGGGCACGAACAGGTTGTTGCGCAGGCCGGGGGACCCGCCGCCGCCCACCGGGGACGCGCCCGGGCTGCCCGACCGCGAGCTGCCCAGCGACACTGCACACGCGGGCCTCATTACTTACAACGCACACTAACACTTTATTCGTTTAATAGCATTAGCGTCTATATTGCGAACAGGCCGCTTACTCTTGAATCTAATCCCGAACGATCGACACTGATACATATTGTGAAACTCAGTACTCTTGACTTGCAAAGCGCTCGTGTAAATGCAATGAGTGGTTTGCTCGCTGTGTACTTCCATGCGAGCAAAGCCACAGAAAACAACCTAAACATAAACAAGTCTAATTGCACGTAATGTTGTGTAGTAGTTGTCGTAGTGTTGCAGGCGTACATAGGCCACGGTAACCGCTTACCATCAGGTGGGCCGTGAGATTTTATTGCCACCGTCGTGGTATAAAAAAAATATATAGATTTGTTACTATATGCAACTTTACCTAGCATATTAGCAGCCTCGGTTTCATCAGAATCAAACCGGCCCGTGACGCGGTAATGTGGTGGCGTAGTGTCCGACTCGCGCGACGTCTCGTCGCCTTCGACTCCCGTACCACTTGAAGACAGGGATTTACTGCTGCTTCTGTAAAAATTATATAATGTTAAATCATTTTGCACTTCGAAGAGTAATTTATGCTGACAGCGAGAACAGCTTGACTTTATTATATATGTTCGAAGGCGTTTGAAATATCTGAAATATATTGATCACGGTATTTGAAAATGTCATACGGGGTGTCCAAATTTGTAGATTTTAATGTCTCTTTCCAATATCCATTTTGCAACCTTGCACGTGCGCCATTCGTATCTTGTGTGTCAAAATGGTGTCAATGAAGTAGTTAAACATACTACAACTATTTACCTTTGTTGTGGAGTATGAGCAGATCCCTGTGCCAACGGAGTGTTGGAAGACCTGGTCACTCCTCGCAAAGACAGGTGTCGGGAACAGAATCCCCGTCGTTGACTCTCCTTGGTGCAGCCATCCTTTGAGCACAGACGGCGCCACTGCTTACCGTTAAACTTCTTTCTGATACCAGTCGGGGTCGAGACTACATCCCCCTTCTTGTATTTGTGCGGGGTTGCCGCCTGAGATCTGAAAGAGAGGTGTCAAATTTAAAAATAGGCAAACAATTTATGAAATGTGTTTTTTGAGTACCGTCATTACCTATAGACACAATTAAAGAACAATAGGTTGCGGTCACCGGTGTCCTCGCGGTGTTTGACAGTTTAATATAAAAAATTCTGGCACTGACTTCTAAAATAACCCTATCAGTGGATCGGTTTTACTACTTCAATGATAAAAGTATTTAACAAACTCATTAGACGCTCAACAATTTTCCAAAATTCCTCTCGAATTAGTTTTATTTTCGGTTCAAATGTGACTAAATTGAAAGAAGCTATCAATAAAAAAAAAATATTCGGTCCATAATTGGCGGTGGTGCATGGCAGAGTCGCTGCACATCGTTAAAAAATGATAAGAAGACGATAGTAAGTATCTCCTACATTTTTTTAATTCAGCAAATTCAATCAATATAAAAATATACTATACTTTCATAACTTATCCACCATATCCAAGATTTTTTTCAGTTAAAGCCGAAGCTATTATAGCGTGGATTGATAAGAAATTGTTAGCGTGCAGTCGACAATTGACACTGTATTTCTATACAAAACCGGATAGAACATTATTCGACAATTCGGCATACTACATGGAGCAGTCATTAATTAATACAAATAATAAAAAAGTTCGGACTTCAAAAACCCATTAACTCGGCAATAAACTTCACGCGAAATGCCCCATAGGCATATCGGCCTACAGGGATAGACGAGAGACAGACGTACGTCTACTTTTGAACAAAGCTTGCCATAATACTCAAGCTTGATAAAAGACTCGAGGAGAGTAGTAAGGTTATTTTGTTAATGGAACACTCAGATCCAGTTCATTTACTTACCTAGGAGTAGGAGGCTGGGACCTTGGTGTGAGACTTCTCTCCAGCAAACTGGACGTACTGCCTCGGCTCTGAAGACTACTGCGTTTGCTGTTGCTGCAATCTGCTGACAAGTACATTCCTATTATACGTATAATAGGCAATAAAATTAAATTAACAAATTCACCTAAGTGGAAATTACATGCAGTTTAAAAAAAAAACCAATAAATCGTATCGCACTGACAATGTTGATAGTTGATAATTGAAATTCAGCTTAGTTGATAACTAAGACCGTGATAAAATATTTCCGAAGCCAGGAATGTATGTCTTAGAGTATCTAAGTACATACATAAGTAAGTCTAGACCAGCATATTTAACTTTTTTTACTAGGGCCAAATTATTAGGCAAGCGAGAAATTATTAGGTCATTAATTAAAAGTTAATCAAAGGTCTTGCGTGATTAATAGACGTCCTCTAAGCAGGATGATTACTGTTACCTTTTATTAATATTGGACTTTTATATTCCCTTCTATAGCATACTTTCCAAAAGGGTTACATTATAACTTTTACCTGTGATTTAGAAACAAATTCAGGCGTATGTAATACACTAATAAAATAATAATAAATAAAAAGTGTTTATTGTAACAAAAACCTTAGACACACAGTTTATGAATACTAACATCTAAACTAGGCCGAGCCTGTACCTTAGATGTTAGTTCCTTCCAATTGATACAATATATTATTTACAATTTATAGCTTGTAATGTTTTATAATACCATTGATATCTAATGCACGAGTATGACAATACAATAAAACAACCTTGAGAGACAGGAGGGTACCTAATAAAAACTACTTTAAACAATATCAAACTTTTTATGAATTACCCGCACAGAATGAATTCACTTTAGTATAGTCAAACCACTAAAACAATGAACTTAAATAATAATATTATGTATATATTTTTATAACTTTATTATTTTATTTATTTATGTGTAAAGTGTAGTGTAAGGTGGTGTATGCATCAGTGTGATTAATGTTGATAAGAATTTAAGTTTTATTTATATACATATTATAAATATTGATTATTGAAGATTGTTTCTTTTTCCCGCAAATTGGATATTAGTTAAATTTATCACTACTATATATCTCCAATTCTCATCAACTGTGACATCGTAAAATACAAAATAAACAATAGTTACCCATATGCGAAACATCCGCGGGGAACATAATGTCCTCTCGTCGCAGATCGTCATCGCTTTCTCCGTAATCGTCGAAGGGCTGTCGCTTGCGCAAGTCGTCCATTGAGCCGTTGGACAACGCACCCACCGTCACTACGCCACCGGCGCCCGCGCCGGGCATCGGGGATGACGTGTAGAAGTTATCGCCACCCATCTAATACAATAATTAGGAGTTAGTAGTTAGTTTTCAATTTGAAAAGATAAAAGTTTGTTTAAAACTAATCTATATTAATAATTATTATAAAGTCGAAGAGTTCGTTTGAACGCACTAATCTCCGGAACTCCTGGTTAGAATGTGATAATTATTTTTGTTTTGAATAGTCAATTTATTGGCCAAGCTATCCAACATCACACTGCTGCGATTCAAGATCTGTATAATATATGAGTCAAGTAGAGTGTGAAATCGCACTTAACTAGTTAGTCAAATATACACATAGACAGAATGCTCTGACTTCCATAACGAAATAAATAATCTATTTGTCCCGCACAAGTTACTATCGTAACAGAAGGCACCGCTTACTAACCATTCCTACTAGCCATACTCAAAACCAGATTTCTAATGTGTTTGATGACGACTCACAGACAGCACGAGTTTAAGTGAAGATAATATATAAACAATAATAAAGTTCATATTAGAAAAAAAGTTACAGCCTGTTTTGTTTCCTGGTTTGCCTGTTTGTTTTTGGTTGTTTGCATGTTTGTCGCAAAAAAATCGTATTTTGTATTATTTCTTGTACTGTGCCCAAAGATGTACTATTTCATATTCTGTGCCCAAAGTAGTACTATTTCTTATTATGTGCCCATGTGTTAATAATGATCAGCATTTTAGGATTAACAAATTAACTAGTACAATTATTTGTAACCAGCCGATCTAGAGTGTCATTTCGCGAAGCCTCAGTGTACATAGGCTAAAACATCCGTCGTGTGTTTGATGTAATAATATCGTGATGACGATATCGTCGTCTCATTACTGGGTACATACCTGAGTAGGGACATGATGTAAACGCAGTGAGGGGTGCATGGAAGACGAGGTGTGGGTGCCAGCATCCTCCAGCTCATCCGCCCACGGAGGCTGCAGCAGTCTGATATCTGCTCGCTTCACTTCCACCATTTCTTTGCAGAGATCACCATCTGTTACCTAAACCACAGTAGTTACTTGTACGCGAAAACTATGTACTATTATAGATTTCAGATAATATATACCTAATGACAACATTTTTTATGACTTCACGTTCAAAAGAGCCATATCGTCTATAGTTACAAATAAAATCAGACAGACATTACATATACTAAAAAACTGCCGCATCAAAATTATGGGACTAAAAGTCGATATGTTATAGTTAAAACCAGTTTTTAGATAGAACGCGTTTTTTCTAGTTAAAACTACTTTTTACTAAGTTCCTTTGTTAATATAGAATTAATTAATGCTTAAAATGGAATATTAGTTCATTTCTTACTGGACAACATGCATTTTTCAAAACGAGTCAGTTAAAACTGTTCTCAAAACTGATCGTATCTCATCGATGATTCATCTCATCGATGACGATACCTCATTTGCAGCTGTTGACTTTGACTCTTGACTTTGACTTTGATTCACCCCCATACATTTTGATTTCAACTCTCTCTGTAGACAAGCGCTAAAGTGGCGTTTGGCTAAACGCCTTGATTGGACAAATTCGGGAGAATCCCTTTCAGAGTGCCACCCACATATGTACACTAGTTTCAGGTCAAAATAAATAGATTGTGTGGCTTAGACTAAACAAGTCGTATTTCTGCTCGCAGGGATTTTTTAACGGAACAAAATGATCTAATGGCTTCTCCCGCCTTGGGTGAGGCGAGATTGTCAGACTCTTATTAACTAAAAACCACCCCGTTCTCCTTGAAGAAGCTCTCACTTTAAAGGTAACTTAATTGTCACTTATACGACATATGTTACCAATTAATAAATACTTGTCTCAAAACATATTTATTCAGGAATGAAACAGAATAAGCGCTAGTAGATATTTGCCCCCGTATGTAGTTCTAAGCTAAATAGAAAAAACGCGCTCTATCTGTAATTGTAACAGATACACATTTTGAAAGCATGCAACTAACCGACTATGATGCCGTATCAACGTAATCAGTCTGCAACGTTACAACAAGATACCATATCATTTACCAACGAAAAGAGACGCATTTCTACTTAAGACTTCAACGGACACTAAGTCATTAAACATTTAAGTACTTTGCCACAGATTGTATTATACCACTCGTCGAAATAATTACAGCCGTATTTTCGTAAATAAATATTGTGTTGTTCACTGACGAGTTCAAATAAAAAATATCTTTTTTTGTTTTCCCCTAATTGTGCCGGTGTGTGTACCTAAATCATATCATACACATTTCCTAGGGAATCTATACATTTCCTAGGAAATATATACATTTCCTAGTAAATATATACATTTCCTAAATAGCGTTCCTATTTCAGACCGCAGGGTTTGAAGTAACCTAAAGAATGGGATGACGGTAGCTATAGTTCGGTCGCTCCGCTCGCTCAATCCACTCAGTTCGCTCGCTCCGCTTCCTCACTATAGCTTCCGTTATGCATGCCATTCTAACTTATCCGCCTACTATGACGATCTGCTATCAAAGATGATCATTTCCCACAATAGTATTCTCATCTATCAACAATAAATTATAACGTTATGTTATTTGTAAAATGCATATATCTGTGGCTTTAGCTAGATTTTTGCTGTAAATAAATGCCATCACATTTTGATGAATTTTAAATATTTTTAGTACAATGTATAGGTTTTCAAGTAGTTAATTTTTAGTACAGTCATTTTTTGATATGCAGTATTATTAGAGAAAAAAATATGTTTTTTTTTTAATTTCTAAATAGATATGCAGTTAAAAATTCCGCATATTTTATATATTTCCTAATATGATATAGGAATTATTATACACCTAAGTACTTGATTACATTTCTTACGATATATAGTTATTAAAAATATATATTTTTAAAACAATATATTATACATTTCCTAAATAGTTTCCGAATTGTATACTTTTTAGTAATTTTATACAAGTGGGTACTTGCCAACTAGTCAAATTCAATACTTTTTTCGGATGGTCAAAAACGATAGTTTTCTATGAATTTTGTACGAGATTGTATATTGTAACGTCTCGTTTTTTTAGCGTCGAACACCATATTAATTTCTTAAAAATTTACTGGAGAAATACTAAAATTAAGATGTTCATGAAACCAATTAATGAAAGTATGATTTTTAATATTTTATTGTATTGAACAGTCGAAATAACTTATTTTTGATTAAGGACAGTACCTAACTCCTAAATCTCATGTATTTCCGGTAGCATTTAAAATGAAATGATTTAAGGAATATTTACTTATATTTTCCTCTCGCTTCAACTGTTTCTATATTATTATTATTGTAGATTCAACACGAGGCTGTCAACTTTATTAGTAACTAGTAATTATGCATATCTTTTGGGAAGCCCATATTAAACTTAAATTATAAACAGGATATTATGCGAAACAAACTCACCTTAACTCTAATCCTTATAGGAGAATTAAGAACTTCATACACAAGACCTTCCACGAAAACATTTTGCACATTCTCACGGCTGGGGTCCGTAGTCCTTACGACACACAGCGACCCCATGTGCAGATGGCTCATTTGGGGGCTCGCGTCACTTATCACATCGTTCTTATTCACACCGAACACATCACTATACTCCACCGGCTCGTTCTCGAGCCCGTCGAACTCCACTATCACTTTACAACCCTCGGCCTGACGAATAACTCCTGGAACATACAACCCCCGTTGCTTCGCCAGCACCCTGTGGTCCCGCCATTCTGACAAGTCAATATTGGGGTATGAATTGATGTATGGCTTCATTTCTGAAGGCGGAGAAGAGCGCTGGATTATTGGAGACGGCTGCAGCACTGACTGTTGGTACTGCGGCTGGTACTCGACTGGAAGCGGAGCGTTCACTGTGTTGTTGTTTGAACAGCTCATTTCTTCCAGCACTGACGGGTCAAACTTCCGTTTCTTGGGCAAGTTTCGCACGGGAGCCTGGGTTGGTGTCTGTTGGGCCGCCGGCTGCCCATTGCTGCTGGCGTTGCCCAGGTTCGTGGGGTTGGCCATCGTTATGTTAGTAGTGGGGTGCGTTGATGATTGAGACAGGCTTACTGTGCCCACACTACTTATCACGGAAGCAGGTATCTGGAACAAAAGCCCATACTTATACATTCATAAATTATTCAAATCAGAAATAAGAACATTTTTATCGAAAAAAATACTTATATTAATCTTTTTCTACGAATTTTCTGATACTCTAATGGCCGTTTTCACCAACCATACCAGACCATCCCTTAACTAAAAGTTACTTAATTAACGTGACGTAGCACCTCAAGTAGCCTCTTATTGGTACTGTTAGGTGTCACTTATAGGTTGGTGAAAACCATAAGTCGTTAAATGTCACATTAGCTTAGGGGTATGTTAAAACATAGGCGAGGTTAGTAAAAACGGTAAGTCTAAAGTAATTAAAACGGTACGGGGTAACATTTACAATAAATCGATTACCTATTGCTGTATGATGAAAACATTAAAGGTACGAATAGACAACGACACTTCACACTCAGTGTGTAAATCAAATGTATGATCACGAGTGTTTGTAATTAGAAAATTTATTGTGCCACGATAATTAGTGGCACATCATGCGCCGGCTTATGATCCGTAATTCCGTATAAGTGTAAAGTGTGAATCTAAACAGTACAGACATTTATGTCACAACTTGTGTTGTAGTTAATTCGTACCATAAGGCATTCTTACAAAATAAAAATCTATGAAATAACTAGCCTAAAAACGCTTATTTTCATAGTTTTCTACAATATTATTATAAAACTTTTTAATACATAAATAAACTATTCATTTACAAAATAATAGTTTTGTTTATTAAATTAAAAAATACAAATCTTTATTTTTATATTCATCCCGTCGATAAAATTAAGCACACGTCATTTCGAATTTCGATTGGTGCACTTTATGAAGACTCGCACTGTATTATACTCTACACTGATACGAGGAATTTAAACAAATTAGTTTTCCTTATTGACATTGAAATATCTAGAAACAGTAATACCCACATTGAATAAAGCGTATATTATTATTTATATTGTATTAACTCGTCGAGTACCGTCATTATAGACACAATTATAGAACAATAGGTTGCGGTCACCGGGGACCGCTTGGTGTTGACAGTTTAAATGGGCGTTAAATAACTTTTCAAAACGACCCAGTAGTTCCTGAGATCAACGCATTAAACCCACAAACAAACCCTTCAGCCTTATATATTTTATAGTAAAGAATAGATAGATATAACAAATATAAGCACAGATACAGATTGATATTAGATTAATAAATTGTTAAAAGACACCGTTAACATGTATATAAGTAATTATTTGATTAAATGAAGGCACTCATTAATTTATATCACTTCCATTCATGTCGAACACACGAACACCATGAAATCAATGGCGCGAACGATAAGTCAGTAATGGCTTTAATGACATTCGTCATAAGCTTGGTTATTCATAAGATGCCTACTCCTGCTATGAGTGATACGACACTTTATATAGTAATATGTATAAATAGCAAATTAAAACAGTATTATTTATATATGTATGTATGAAATCTATATTATTTATTTTATATATAAAGCTAAATAGCCTGTGTGTGTGAACGCGCTAATCTCAGGTATTAGTATTACTGATCCGATTTGAATCATTATTTTTGTGTTGGGTAGCCTATTTGTCGAGGAAGGCTATAAATATAAAACATCACGCTAAGTTCAGTAGGAACCGAGCAGAACGGGTGGAAGCGCCTGGGAGTAGCTAGTTACTATATTATATGTATAAGGCTGAAAAGCTTTTTGAAGGTACTTATCTAAGAAACTACTGGTACGATTTGAAAAAAAAAATTGTAAGTTTTAATACCTATGTACATATGTTTAGATTTTATACTCGTAGATGGATACCTACGTCAAACAATTTTCGAACATTGATGCATAAAGTTTATTAAAATGAATAAATAAATAATTAGTGATTTAGTAAAAAGAATAAATAAATGAAATACATTTTTATTATTTTTTTAATGTAAAATTGTAGTTACTCTGACATATCATCTTTATTCCATCAATGTCTAATATTAAATATAGTTTCCACATTCGAAAGATGTCGGTTAGTTCACAATAATTACGAGTGACACCATTGTATACGGCAAACGTGTCTCGAAATTTTTTCACTATTACCCGCTATCTTACATGCGATTGTTTTTTGTATGCACACATGTGTTTGGGCGAATAAATATGATTTGATTTGATTTGACCCTGAAAGATAGACGCCTATCCTTTGTACGACGTCGCGGAGAACCTAACGGGTAACCGGGGCTCCGGCTCGACGTGCAGGAGAAGGAATGGGGTGGTTTTTAGTCAGTAAGAGTCTGAGACTCCCCTCCCGCCTCACCCAGGCGGGAGAGCATTCATTCGATGATTTTCCCACATAAGAAAAAAAAATACTTTGTACGACGTCTGATAAGCAAGGATCTTCGTTCTCTTGTATGGGACACACATCCATAGAATTGATGGAAACGCCTAATTTATCAAGTGTTGTTGAAACCTAAATTCCGCACGAATGAAGCCGCAGCCGGAAAACTACTATTCATTATACAATGTAGTATTCTATAAATACATCATACATTAATTTATTGTTACTCTATTTACAACGCTTCACATCTGAATATAGGTAAAATTAAATGATCATATTGTCCTGACATAAACCATCGTTATGAACTATGACTACATACATACTCACCATATTCGCTTTTAACCGCCTTCTCAAAAAAGAGGCGGGTATACAAGGTGTAATTGTGTTATTCAATTTAAATTTTTCGACGATTTTTGTGATTAGACTCTACTAATGATAGATATTACATTAGGCAACTTAGAAAAAAATTGAGCCTATATGTAATACAGAAAATAAATAATACAATAACTTTTCCTTCAGTCGGTTAAAAAAGGATTTTTGTGGTGTTCGGATGTTTATTTTACTTTGCGCGGATTTTTATACTTGGAGGTTTATATAAGCTACGATGAATATTGGTTAATACTTTTAAATAGTGAGATATTATGTTTGTTACGCGATTGCTCCGGCTAATCATTTAGCCGTCGTATAAGCCTAGCCATAATGTAATAAGGCAAATTACACAATTTCACTGCAACATATACATAGATAGGTAGTCGTTACCAGGGACTGAAAGCGGTTAAGGTATAACGGTACGGTACCGGTATAAAATAAGTGTACCGAAATTAAAGCTATACCGGTATTTAACCTTTATGCGATAACGGTAGGTACCGAAAAACTTAGATTTGACCGTTGCGAGACGTAAAGCTAGGAGTGTGCGGGGTGTGGTGCGAGGGGCCCCACTCCGAGGCGTGGAGCAGCGGCAAGCGAAAAACGCGCGCCTGTGTGCCTGTTTATTCGTGTCACTGCTGCAACTAAACTACGCTACCGTTGTATGATTTGTGTGTACCGTACCTATCTAATAACTATATAATAGTCGTGTAACTATTAACTATGAGGCGGAAACGTAAAAATGCAGTATATGGATTGAGATATAAGTACTAATGAGTACATGCGTTTTTTTCATTTTCCAAGGAAAGTAATGTTTCTACATATTTAGTAACTGGATGCTTAGCTATAATAAAATAAGTATTGTACCCATTCATTGTAAACTTTGACCGGTCAGTGAGTATAGATGCAATATAGGTACTACTTATACAACCTATACCCTAAATGTAATTGGTAGGTATGTACATAATTATCTATCTTGTAGCTATAAGATACCTAACTATAACATTTATCTTATTATTCGGTACGTACCTATCTAAACTTTCGGATATCCTAGGTAGGTGTGTACCTAAGAACATCGTAATGTTTGTTTACTTATATTACATACCTACATAAAACCAGTCATTGGGTATCGTTCGTTAGGGTAGGTACTTACCTAAACTTTGATTATTTACTAGGTATATATAATATTATGTTCATAAGATGAATAGGATTAGGTACCTACCTTGGAATTTTAACTACAATTATTATATAATACAAATTATACAAGCCCAAACACAAGGTAGTTACTATAAACCGTTGATGAGTTCCCTTAACAATTACAGTTCTTCATCATCAGACCCCCTTTCAAACTTTTCCTTGCATTCATTTTTCTTCTTGTTAACTACCGCTTTTGCTCTCTTTTTGAGACTAATGTACTTTTCTATCATACTTTCTAGCACTCTTCTATTTGCCTTTGAGGCTAATAAGTCGAGCCATGCTTTCTTCTTTTGCTCTATCACCTCTTTTACTTCATCATCCCACCATTCATTCCTCTTGCTTCCAGTGTTATTTTTCTTGCTTACCCCACATACTTGAGTAGCTACTGCGATCACTCCATCCTTAAATTCCTTCCAAAATTCTTCTATATTCCTTTCGTAACCTTTCATTAGCTCCCTAAACCTTTCATTTAATAGTTTCCTGTACTGGTCCCTAGCTGCCTCTTCTCTCAACCGTTCAACTCTCACTCTCTCGGTTCCAAGCAACCTTACCCGTGGCCGATGTCTCCACTTCATTGCCAGTCCAGCTATTCTAGTAATTACTAGGAAGTGGTCGCTTCCGACATTCGTGCCACGGTAAACCCTTGTATCCTTCAGTTTTGTCCTCAGGCGTTCATCAACAATCACAAAATCAATCGTACTTCTTTCTGTATGCCTCTGCCATGTATACATATGTATCTTCTTGTGACCAAATGTTGTGTTGGTCACAAAAAGTTCCTTTTCTACACATATATCCAGAAGACATACACCATTCTCGTTCACTCGTTCGTCTCCAAATCGCCCTAATACTCTATCGTACCCATCGCGTGCCACTCCAACCCATCCATTAAAATCTCCAAGCATAATTATTCTTTCATTCTCTTTACATTCATTAAGAACATCTCTCAAGTTATCCCAGAATACTTCCCTCACCCCAATTGGCTTTGAGATGTCCGGGGCATAAGCACAGACGACAAATAATTTGGTCAAGCCAATTTTAAGGCGGATCTAAAGTATCCTGGGACTCACACATTTATACTCTTTCACACATTCATTCATCCTTTCAGATAGTATGACCCCCACGCCCTGGCTGCCTCTCTGGGAACTTGCAACACCAGACCAGTAAGCAATATATTGGCCATGTGTGGTAGTCATACAACCCTTTCTTTTCGTCTCGCTCATCCCTAACAAATCAATCTTTCTTGTATTCATCATCTCACATATTTCTAACATCTTGCCTTCTACGCCTCCACACACATTCAGTGTAGCAAAAAGGCAATCCTCAGCCCGCTTTCTGCCTACTCACGGGGAGACAAAACGTGACGTGTGGCAGAGCACGTCGCCGTTGGGAATTTGCCAAGATACGACGGGGCTGCCTGAGCAATCATGCTCAGGGAGGGATTTTCCAGCGGAGCTGGTACCCTCCTAGGGTAGAGTTTAAAAATCCTAATTGAATAACAATACACATATTACACGCCCCTACAATTTTCGAAAGTTCTCCTCGGTTTTCCTAGGCTTCTATTATCAGATCCTGACCTCAATGAAAAGGACCATCTCGGGAGTATACCCTTTGAATCAAAACAAGAATTCTGGAAATCCGCGCCCGGCGAGGTAGAAATAAAAAAACTTTAGGCATTTAACCAATTTTTGACAAAAATGTCGTGAAAATATATACCTATAAGGTAAAAAAAATATTACAACACACTACGTTATAATAAACTATAGTAATGAGCTATAGTGTAATAACATAAAAAGTGTAATAAAATAGTACGCACGCAGCGTCTGTGTGTGAGCGTGTCTACTGGCATTAGATCGCCGCCGCGTGCCGTACGCGTCGACACCGAGTAGGTAAGATACTAGTACTTAGTACTCGTTACGTGTCAACTAGAAGTATGTTATTATCAGATTACATAAGTAGTAATAAGTACATATACTTACTTATTTCTGTTATTATAAGTTTTCGTGCGTCATTTGACATTGTTAATAATTGTTATCTCAATTCAACTCAGCACACCATAAAATATTATAACGCGAGCCGCATGTGATTGTGTCCAGAGAACAAGCCAAACGAATGCAATGCGATGAAATAGGATAGATGATCTAGCGCGGTCAATATCTCTCTCATACCTTTATTATTCAGGTTAGGATACTGGTACCGAAATATACCGGTTTTCATTTCATACCCAAAAATAGCGGTACCGAAATTAAATTTCGATACCGAAATTAAGCGGTAACCGTTATTTAACGGTATGACGTCATACCGCAATTTAAAGGTATCGTAATTTTTCGGTTATTCAGTCCCTGGTCGTTACAGAAAAAAATAAAGATTTTTGTTTGCAGGTAGTAGTACCTGATCATCGATGTCTGCGTAGGAGTTGTGTGTGCGTACATTGGGGTGAGCGGTGGCGGAGGCCTGCGAATGCGGGGCGCCGCCCCCGTGAGCTCGCTGCATCACCACCGCCCGCTACCGCTGATCACTATTCCTCGCGTAACGCATGCCTGCAACAAAAAAAAGAAACAATGACATTTATTACACGCAAACATGAATTAGAGTAACAATCACAGTTATGCATAATATATGTATGGGGTGTGAATGTGTGTCAAGTCTGCGTTGAAACGGGTACGAGTTCAGCTTGTGCAAGGCAGAGTCTTAGCTCTTTAGGGGATCAGCGACGGTGACATCTCACATCCGGCTCTGGTTCAGGCCATTTTGTGGAACGAGGGCAACTGAGATGCCGTCTCCTCCTTCTACGAAGCAGTGATGCTAGGTAATGAGGAGGCGCTTTGGGCGAGGGAACGAACCTCCTCCCGTCCCAGCCGACACGGAAGATACTTCAAGATGTATTTAGTCATTAATAATCTGAGTCCTTCTGTGAAGCGAGAGGGATCTCACTGAAGACGGAAGAAGACATTGGATGATTAACACCCCCTTAAAAAAAGGGCCGTGCGCTACTGTTCTATTAGCCCCTTACATGACTTCATCTTCCAACATATTCATTGGTCATAGGTACCTTGTACCTACATATCATACGAGCATGCCGTGGACGGGCAAAACTAGTAGTTAAACCAATAATTGGTCCTACGGTAACCTCACTCACACGACAAAACACAACGCAAGCGTTGTTTCACGTCGGTTTTCTGTGAGGTCGTGGTCGTAGACTCCGGTCGAGCGGGCCCATTCGTGCCGAAGCATGGCTCCCACACTTAAATATCGTACACGTATCGGGATCGATCTAAGGTTTTCAGAGAAACTCCGTACAACTAAGGTCAAAAATCGATCCAAAGATTTTTATTAATCGACCGTAAGAGTACTCCGCATCTAGATTGTTAACATTATACTTTACGATGATTCAGTGTTTGTATTCTGTCTCATCAAATTGTAAAGGATTGCGTCACGTGGATTACGATAAATGTAAGTAACGCTGTACGCGTAGATATTATTTTATTATGCATAGAATATACCACTTGTATTTTAAAAAATAATATTAGTCATACCCACCATCCAGTGTTGTGTGACGAGTGCAGAGCAGTTGTTTTAGTAATCCTCAGTAACACCTTTTCAGAAAATTCAGAAAAACAACTGATACAGTACTACTAAGCTGCCGCTAAAACTGATTTTGTTGTTTACTGAGTTCACTGTTACTATTACGATTTTTTCAGAGTATTGTATACGTGTGTACTTCAGCAATATATGAAGTATTAAAACGTTTATCTTGGTGTTACGTTCTAAAGTTTGGATATGATATCAATATCAAGGTGTCACACTTAGCTTATCTAAGTAATCTGACTTGTTAGCTATTGATTATACAAGGAAATCATTCATTCATTCAACTGCGTAGTGAAGAACTAATTTGTCAATATCTATTTTCTTACAGTCTATAAAGAAAAACCTCTAAAAAATGCAGAACTAGTTTGCAATCGTCTAAATAAATGTATAAAACTATTACGTTCAGATGGTGACCTACATTGCTGGATACATTAGTCTGTTAATCTATTTAAAACGAAACGAAACAGGCATTGTATTCATACTGTAGATAAAATTACGAATCATTATGACAATGTCGCTTTATACGACCACCGCTCATTAGACCAAGAAGAGATCGACAGTGCGTGGCGTGGAACTATTTCATAGACAAGGTTGCGTCATAAAACCTCACAGAAGAAAGACACTTGCACTCGTATTCAAAGCAAATGTAGTACTTAAATATGTTGTATCATTTATTTAACATGAGTTGAGACAATGTATTCTATTTCAAAAAAAATTCACAGGGTATGAGGGGTGTTAAAGGGTCTGACGGGTTAAAATAGAATTTTAGAACCTAAATATCTAGACACATTCACAATTAACTACTAGACCAGTGTAAGAATTATTCCTTAATACGCCATGTGTTGTTATATCGTCTTATTATGATTACAATAAAAATAAAACTCAAACTCATGTCCTGAGTGACTGACTGACCGACTGTATCATTATCGCCAAGCGCAAACTATCAAGGCCACAAACATGAAATTCAGATTGTACATTCGCTTTATTATGCAAGTATCCATTAAGAAAGGATTTTAGGAATTTCATCCGTAAGGGTTGAAAATAGGGGATGATATATGAAGATCTTATTTATTTTATTTATTTATTTATTATGCTTTATTGTACACATTTATGTAGTTTAAAACAAACAATTAAAAAAAAAAATTCTTTAAACCCAATTCAAGTAAATATGCGTACAAAGATCCGTAATTTTAAAAATAAAAATGAAAAGCATTTACAGGAATTTTGGAAATTTTACATATAAACTTAGTGCTTGGCGACTGGGCTTCACCCAGTTGTACAGTCTCTTCTTTGTGCCTTTAGGCTTAATTCATTCTGTCTCCTGCAGTAATTCACCGAGGGAAGTGAAAACCATAGTTTTTTCTTCTTCTCCTCTTATAATATCTTCTGATTCACTTCGTTGCGGGAACCAAGACAGTTACTCATGAGTAACTGGAACACTGAACCCCGGCGCGTCCCAGGGACATGTCCCTGGGACGCGCCGGGGTTCAGTGTTCCGGTGTTTTCATGGTTGTATCTACTGTAGATCCTGGCTTACAGGAGTTGCAGCGGTTTTGGGAGGTTGTGGCGGGCTTGTCCCATTAAAAAAAAAATAAACTTAAAAAAAGATGAAACGACGGTTTAACGTTTGTTTTTGAGCTGAGGAACACAGGATTGGACCTGCTCTTTGAGCCGGTAAACCCGTTAAGTCTTCCGCGGATCCGTAATTATAGTATAGGCAATCCGGCTTCATGAGGGTGGAAATTGTACCACGGACAGATATTTAGTATTGACCAGATGATAATGATTCATAGTAAACAAATGGGGAATCACGACCCTCACGTCATAGTACGGGAGGGGACGCTAGTTTTAAAAAGTCATTTATAAAACCTGATAATGAGCCAAAAGCCTAAATCCCCTTATGAGCTGAGCTGTGAGCGTCAGCCATTCAATTACCGTTGCAGTCAGAGTTACGTGAAAGTCGTCAAAAATAATTTTACAAAGACTTTATACAATGTGTCAAAGTTTGTTAAAAAAATTTTTAGATGATTTTAAACAAAAATAAAACAGTCAAATATTTTACAAGCACACTAATATTTTATAATCCACATTTATTTATTTACAAAAATATGTTTTTACTGAAATACCTTTTTTATAGTTTTCTGATATTACTGAATGTGTTACTGTATGTGACGGGTTAAAGTGTCTCATAAACGATCCGACCGTTTCTGTCCTAATTTGCAAGCATCCCAGTTTTCCAAGTGGTTTTATTTTTAATCTAATTCCTAAAGTGGAACCTATTTAAGGCACGCTCATCCGACAGTTGAAATTGGACAGCGAAATGGTTTTAAATACGAACCTACAAAAATAGGAAATGAAAAGAAAGAAATTGCTTCTAGTTGCAATAATAGATTCTACACATTTTATTTAGCAATTTTAAAGCAAACAAAGGAAGTGAGCAGGATCTGCTGATGCATTACGTAGTTGATATTTAATCAAGTTGTTACGGTGTGTGGGTTTGTGGGGTCAAGGCCCTGCTGAACCTCCACCCTGCCGGTATGATCTGATGTTGTTTGTTTAAGTAAACGTCGCAATCTCACTTAGTGGAAACAGGGTAAGTCTACCACCTCATGCGCTATCGTACCAAGTTTTACTCAAAGCCTCAGTGGTTTTAAAGGTAGTATCATGGGCTTTTAACACATAGTTCTCGTCTAGTACAAACTTGCAACCTATGGGGTTGGTTCAACCTATGGGGCCGCTACAGTTTAAACTGTCAAACACCGCGAGGACACCGGTGACCGCACCTATTGTTCTTTAATTGTGTCTATAATGACGGTACTCAACGAGTTAAGGAGCTTTGCTGGGTTGGCCCAAAAGCAATGTCATTGTCATATAAATACACACAAAACATAACGCCTTTTTTCCCCAAGGGGGTAGGCAGAGGTGCACATTTCGACACTTAATGCCACTCTACAATGTAACACTCACTTTTCACTATTTATGTTATGAGTCCTATGTAATAGGGGGTGACCCTATTGCCCTATACCGGGCGCAATTCTAGACTCCGTGCTACAAAAGATTTTTTTTTAAAACTCACTAGTACTTTGCCCGACCCAAGAATCGAACCCGAGACCCCTTACCCGGCACTCGCACTTGCGACCACTCGGCCACCGAGGCAGTCTGTCATTTAAATATGAACTTTAAATCGAATGTCATATCACATATTTCATAACGTAAAATGTAAGCTCACCGTCAGCACGCGGTTATTGTTTCCAAAGCAGAAATGTTTGTTAAATGTAGGATGACCTTTAAGATCATAAAATTTCACACTCCTGGCACTTGAAACTTTATTAATAATTTATCATCCCCGAACGCAAAACTATCAATTCTACAAACAGGTAAGTAATACGGACTATACCTGTATTCACATTGTTGTTTAGAACAAAGAATAAAAAAAAATAGCACCCTAAGAATTCAAAACAAATTAGGAGACAATAATTTGTATGAAAGTTATTTTGAAACTAAAATAAACAAAGTATTGTATTTTGGTTATTAACGTAAAATAAATGAATACTTCAGTAGGTATTTCAAAAAGGGTGAAACGGGGATTAACTCGTCGAGTACCGGTTTTGTAGACACAATTATAGAACAATAGGTTGCGGTCACCGGTGACCGCTTGGTGTTTGACAGTTTAAAAGTGTCTTATACATTGCTAACTACAAAGTTGTTCGAGTTGTTTACTATTATTGCTCACACTTAAAAGTTAATACCGTAATAACCAATACACACAAGGATAAATTGGTTTCCTAACTTAACTATAAAAAAAGAAGTGACTAGGCGTGGTTTAGCCCGCTTCACCCAGGCGGGAGCAGTCATTCGATGATTTTACCCCCTAAAAAAAAAAAAAAACGGCGTGGTTTAGCAGATACAGTACCAAAACACAAACGGGCAAAATAATTATTAAATTATTAAACTTCTCGTGACTTTTTATAGCGTGAGTCACTCATAAGATAAATAAGTACCTACCTAGGTATTTCGAGAATACGGCTAGGTAACATTAAGACCACTTCTCCTATACAAAAACCCAGTTAGGTACAATAAAATTACAATATCATTTTCCCAGACACAATAAGACGGACCACAGAACATATAAACGGATCGTTCTGCAGAAAAGTGAGCCAAAATCTTCTAAACTCCTGTTGCACTGCGCCACGCGGCGCCTTTGTCCAATCTAGGCACCATGTTAGACGAATTTGAGCTCCTTTTTGTTCGCCTCATCAGTGTCGTTGTGGTGAATTAATGACTTTTTTTTATAATATACACGTATTTTATGTCATTATTCCCTTGGAAAATGGGTAGGCCTTTAATATATCTATTATTTGTCGATATGTGGGCTATCTTTGTGCCGATAGTCTTGTCGGCCAATGGGTTAAAGTTAAACCATAAAAGCCTCGACGTCCATCTTGGGATGCTGCCGTACGTGAGTACGTCTGCGTGCGTGCGTACGTATCGTGAGTACGTCTGCCTCTGGCCTCTGGAGGCCCAACCACCGGTAGCATGGACCATGCTCCGGCTACTAGTCGGCTCCAAATTTTTTTATTGTTTTTTAGGCAGTATTTAAAAACGTAATTTATGAAGGATTTTAAATAAATATAATTGGAAATATTTATAATACCTTGTGTTACTGTGGTGCTATGGTTGCTAACATGACTGTGTTACCATTGAGTTAATGCTAGGAGTGCTCAGAATATAAATCAGCTATTACTCACCGCCTTGGTACCTACTAGTACCTACCGAACCAATACTATTCTTTACACTTATAATACCTAAGATACTTTTTGAAGTATAGTATAGATAATATAATAATAAGTAATATGTTGAAAAGAATGCTTTCAAAAAGTTTAAAATAGATTTATCTTCAATTAAGTAAATGCTTAGAAGTAATGAAAAGAAGTAATGAAATAATGAAATAAACCTAATTTTATTATGTAATTATTTTTATAACATATCTTTGCAATGGAGAAACTATAAACCTTGTTAACACCTATATATTATGTACCCATGTTTGCAAATGATTAAATGAATATGAATAATGTTTGTAAACAAAAAAGTCCCAAGAGTTTTCCAATATTTTTTAGCATATTTTTTCCAATGGTATTTATATAAATTAATAAAGAAACTTAATTATTTCTTTATATCAACACACCATACAGTCTAAGCACCCACCATCTATTTAAAGAAAGAAGAAACTTATGGTCTAAAAAATAAGATTCGTTCATAGAATTTGTGCAAATTTTTTTTATTATTTAGCATTACAGTAATGTCAGATAGAAACACAATCCATGATTCTTAAACTGTTATACACCGAGCGGTCACCGGTGACCGCACCGTGACCGTATTGTTCTTTAATTGTGTCTATAATCACGGTACTCAACGAGGTAAGAAAGCTTGCCATTTCATATTAACTTGATTATTTGTAATGTGCAATGAATAATTTACTATAGTTATCGTATCGTTATTATAGTTGAAATCCGTATATTCAACTTTATTGATGATTTAAATTAAATAACATAACATAAATACATAATTAGCCAAAGTGAATTCTACATTTTACCTATTGTTGTATCTGCCTATTTATTATAAGACATGTTCAAACATGTTTAATGTTTAGGCCCAAGCGGCAACGGCTCTGTCTGGCCTTGGTCAAAAAATTCACAATGAGTGTTATACCTACATATTTATGTCACCTCTTTCTGTATACAAAATAAAGTATTAGTCACACAACCACTGTTACTATTTTGAGTATTCACCTTCCACCTCAAAATGTATTGTGCACATTGTGGAGGGTAGGTATACTGTATACATAGTAATTCATTTACATATACATTCATAATGTGGTATTATTATATGGATAAAATTGCTTCCACAAATTATTGAATATATGGCCAATGATAAAGATTTCATTTATTTGCAATGTGGTGCAACATGCTAACTTAGTAAATGCAACCGATACATGCAAATAATATAGATTTACATTAAAAATAAATAATCGCAAAAATAAGGAAAGAAAATCATAATGAAAAACATAGTTTTAACACGAAATTGATAAACAAATTGTCACAACATACCAAAAAATGCATTTCAACTTGCGTTATTACCGCTTACCTACATAGGTAATTGTTCAATGCAGATTATGGAATTAATTGATTGGTTAAATAAAACAGCATCAACATTATTTACTACCTATAATAATACATAGATACTTCAACAAATGATTGACAGATGTAATCAAAGCAAAATATTTTATATCTGTGTGTTCACTTACAAGTGTAGAGATGTGGACGAATGATTAGCACCAGTACCCGTGACTGTGTAAGATTAATAAAAACATTTGGTGGTGCACGGCAGCCACTGCACTGGCCGAATGTAATCAGCTGATAAGGACGATGTAAATGCGCACACAACGTACCTACATTCTGAAGCGGCCGACGCATGCTTACACATTTTCTGAAATCAATTACATAGCCCAACACAATTTGTGCCTGCCGCGTACCTAGCTGGGCAAAGCGGCAGTCGCGGCCGCTGCCAGCGCGTGCTCCTGGCTTTATCCGTCACCACCACGGCTGCGCCTCGCGATGCACAAAATCGAATACCATTACTTATTCACCATTGCATGTTTATTGTCATGTGCGCCCTACATGCGCAGACATCACAATAATTTCCTCGAGGTAGTATTGGATATAGCAGTACTCACCGTTTCGCGTTCCATTGTCCACAACGCGACGCACAGTGTAAACAACCAAACCACATAATAAAACAAAATGGAAGTCCGACTCGCTCGCACCGAGATGAGAAATTTTATGAGCGCTCTCGAGTTGTAAAACGTCGTTACTAAGTATCCTATCGTAGTATTTTAGCAGCTCCCCTCCAGTTTATTATCTATCGTCACCAGATTAGATGGTTCACGATCACAAAACAATATGAGTAATTGTTCACAAAATACACTTTTAACAAAAACCGAATAGTCAAATGTCGATTTACACTAAAATTAATGTCCACTTGAAAATAATAATCATTGAAGCGTTTGACGTCCCAAGACACAACACCCACATCAAAAAATTCTACATGGCGACTGGCCTGGCCCAGCTTTCAATAATTTCCACTCGAACATATTCCCGTTTCGCTCGTTCACCATTCATTTAATTATTTCTTAATATGAGGAAAAGAGACAGCGATATATAAATATTTCCTAGTATGAATAGAATCGGTGTTGTGAAGTGTCCCTCTCCCCGGCGATGGCCGAGCAGAGTTGAATGGACCCGAGAACCGTTCAACCATTGGATCGATGACGGTCACGTGTCACAAATATGTAGCGCTGTACGTAGCGCGCGAATTTTCAAAGTAGGTAGATAATTCTACTTTGTTATTTGAAAAAAGTATAAGAGAAGAAGTAAAAGTACCTTAATTGATTTAACTTAACTTTAATTTACGAAGATCTTTCAGAATACATGCTTCAAACAAAATACTTATTTTACAAGTAACGTTAAATGAGCAAAACCTCAGACAGCCCGAATGATTTTTAGTTCACCCAATACTAAGAGAAGATAATTTAAAAAAATATGTGATTTGATGATATAGATTTTTGTATTAAAGTATAATAATAAGGACTATTATTACGCCACGTATGAGAAAAGTTAAAGTGGAGGACGACCTTTGTGTTTGACGAGTTTGCGCACGTGATGACATGGTATACCTATTCAATAAATAGACAGGGCAAAGGTTTCAATGTTTTTTTAATGATATAACAAAGACTCGATATTCTGGTCGAACTATTTCTAAATAGGTAGTTTTATTAAGATCAACAATAATTTACTAAGAAAATGTTTGCTTATTGTTTAAAACCATGAAAGTTAACAATACCTACCTTAACGTTTCTATGCTCATTTACTAACTTCGTCGTTTGGAATGGACGACAGAGTGGAATAAAAGTGTTGTCACCACGCCTACAATAATTTTACTTTTCATAATCACTATCGTAAGACATACTGAATTTACTAAAAATCGCGCAACAGCCAGTAGGCTGCGCGACATCGGTGCGACCGCGCTCGCTGCACATGAGGAACAATCCCTCTGTTGTTCGAAACTAGTAGAGCTTTTCTCAGTTTATCACGTGAGTAACCCGCGGTTTTTAGTTAATTATACTTTTCCCGCAGATGTCGAGACCGCGCAGTCTAAGGCTGCGTCCACATCTGGCAAATGTTCCGCGAATGCGCAACTCACGACCTGAGGCCTTAGTACGAGTTTGATTTACGTTTAAAGTATTCGAAACGAGTACACGTTTGGCACTCTGATTGGCCGGCTCCAATTAACTAACCAAACTGAGCCCCAAACCCGTACTCGTTACGATTACTTTAAACGTAAAACAAACTCGTACTAAGGCCTCTGCATTACATTTAAAATTATGTATGTATGTACGGTATTTGTACGAATCTTGTATGCGTTGAGCACCAAACCATTGCCGTGAGTCACGGCCCGTGACTACACGGCGCGCTTCTAGTGGGGAGCCCGCAAATGCCTCGCGATCGGCACATTCGCGGCCAGATGTGGACGCATCCTAATACACAAGAACCCTTATCTAATTTGCCTGGCAAGCATGGACAATATGACAAACTCTATTACGTAATTTATGTACCTCCTTTTGCGAAGCAGTCATCGTAGCTAAGGAGGAGGCGGGGCGCATGAAGCAGCGAAGCGCTGCACCCTCACAACCCAGCCGTTGGGAAGGACACTCCGGGCGTCGGGGATCGCAAGATGATCTGCGGCTTGATGGGCTGCAAGCACGGGCCTGCGGATGGCGAGCATGGGTAACCAGACCCGAGCGTACGACGGGTCGCGTTCCGCGCTGGAATAAGGCTGATGCCGATATGGAGCCGCGGAGAACGTATAAGGTTACTGGGGCTCAGGATCGAAGTGCTGAAGTAGGAACGGGTGGTTTTAACTCGGTAAGAGTCTGACACTCCCTCTTCCACGTTTGTTTGTTTAAATTTACCCCCTTCCAGATGATAGATCGATCAGAGGGCTTGGTACGATTTTGTTTTACATAGAACGAGATCGATAACAAACCCGTACAAGGCCTCTGATATTAATTTGGTACCTAGACACTCTTAAATCTTGATGACCAATACAATAGTAGGTATCTGTTTTTCCGGAACTACCTCCATTTTCGATATTAAACGTAAAGGCTTGATTGGCAGTATTTTTTTTTTGTTAGGGTTGAAAATCATCGAATTTCTGCTCCCGCCTGGGTGAGGCGGGAGGGAGTGTCAGGCTCATTAAAACTGTTTTACTTAAAACATATTTTTTTATGGTCCAGCGGACCGAATGTTCGATGTGACGTCACGATTTACCAACTGCATTTTATAGCAGTGAGCTCCCACTCCTAGACTTATATCTGTTTTATAATAAGTATCATAGACATCACTGGGTTTAGCAAAATATCTACAAATGGTAGGGGACAGGGTTTGACAAAATAAAAAAAATATGTACCACATAATATTTTTTTATTACCAACTGGACAGGGTAAATAGGTTGCTTATTTGTAGATAATAGGTATAATCAATTAAAGACTGGATCAAACTGAGATTTGTTTTGATTACTTTAAGTGTATGAGCCCAAACCCCACGAGATCTGGGTAATTTTTCAAAAATCCTTAACATTTAACATTATCGTTACTCTCACTCTTATTTATCATTAATATTTTTATTGCATTACTTGAGAACAAGGGAATAGTAAATATTTTCGAAATCATATTTCAAACAGCACAATTGAACTTTGAGGATAATAACGTAAATTTTTATTAAAATTTTTTGAACACATCAGTAACCGATTTGTTAATTAAAATAACTGGAATCACATAAGATAAATAAACAAAACTTAAAATAAAAATACCAATTTTCATTTGAGATACTTTATTGTGTATGAAAATATATCCTACATACTTAAATTAAGTAATGACTATAAAACAAGTCTGTTACAACTGAGATAAATTAATAGATGATTGTGCTGTTTTTAGAGATTTATTACTGTATGCAAATTATTATTTTTTTTCACCTACTATACTGTCATAATGGTTGCCATATTAATTAATGCTAATTCATCAAAGTAAATTTACAATAACTTATAGATAATGTTTGGCTAACAAAATAATTCTTTATCTTACTACCAATTTACTCAATATTACATATTTTTATTTATTAGTTCTAAGCAATACTAAGGCTGGTTGTTACTATACTATGCGGAACATAAAATTAACATTTAAATAGAATGTAAGCATTTGATAGAAGAGTTAGATTCCCAGGCCAAACACAGAGACAATGCAGTACATAGTCTTGTTTTCCCAGCGCACAGTGCATGAGCCGTCAGTATTATTGTCCCAGAAACAAGAAGAAGCCGTATGTAGACCGGCACCATTCTTCTGCATGATAGTGCATGTCACTGTAAAATAAATTAAAATGTTTATACAGGTAAGAAAGTTTACTTAAATGGCGCAGAATTATGCAGCAGCAGCAATTTACGTTTCAAACACGGGTGAACATGTAGGTAGGCGCCTTTATTACGTTCAACTTACCTATATACTTATAAGGCTTTTGTAGCTTGGTCAATTGCCCCAAGCAAGATTCCACAACAGCTGATGTCCATTGATTAACTTTATTGTGCTGATAGGCAGTCCCTCCGATTGAATTCTCAATAGCCTCTTTAATAATTTTACTCACATCGTCCACAATGAATTGATTCTGAAACACGTCACATCGATAAAATGTGAATCACCTCCAATGCTGCTTAAAAACATCCTGATAATACTTACTTCTTCAGCTAAATCGTTACATTCTTTAACCTCCATGATTTAAAACGAAACGCTATTTGAGTATGAAGAGTTTTCTGGAAATAGTTTAATTACAAAGACAACAAAATTTTAGATGTTAGTGCTACAGATAGAAACCAAACCAACTCCCAAATTGACAGTGTTGCCAGTGAGAAAATTTGGACTGCTGTAGTGCCGTGTTTGGTAAAGGATATTGCCGTGTCTTTGAAGAAATATATTTTTAAATTCGAAAAGAAATGGATATGTAAATCAACAGAAACTTTACGACGCAGTTATTCATATATTATAAATATAATACCAAAAGGCTCTAATATACCGGCACTGCAAGGCGCTAATCCGCTATTATACTGATATCTGATTATTATTATTATTATTTTATATTTTGATTTTATTTCTAAATTATACTTTTTTTAAAATTTTAGTTTCAATCTCAAACGGTTCAAAAGCATAATTGCCAATCAGGCTATCATACTTTCGCCGTTTGAGGTTCTCGCAGATTGGGATGACGCCAGAGTATTAACGCAAGTGGCGTCCCATACTAAAGGCCTACCCAAGGGAATAATAATCTTCCAAGGGAGTAATGACATACGTCGACGTCGGGTCTCTTGCCATCGTTGCGTCCAAGCCATTAGGTTCTAAAGTAAGAATGGCTAATATTGTATTTTTTTTTATTTCGAACCAATAAAACTTTTTGATGTCGAACACATTTGTGGCGACTCATGTCACAAGTCAACGGATGACGTCATAAAATCCTACATCGCACATGCGAAGTTTACATTCGATTTAACACGGATAGAAAATCCCAACGACCAACTGTTGGATTGAACTATTGACACCAACGCTTATATGGCAGTAAATCATGGTTGTGGCAGAAAAAGCATGAAAGCAGGAAATTGAGAGCCCTGAGAAGTATGAGGAGTAAAATTGAGTGATCAAGTGAAAAATAGTGTTATTGAAGTAAGGTGTGGATTGAAAGATGCATGTGCAGGGACTGAAAGCGGTTAAGGTATAACGGTACGGTACCGGTATAAAATAAGTGTACCGAAATTAAAGCTATACCGGTATTTAACCTTTATGCGATAACGGTACCGAAAAACTTAGATTTGACCGTTGCGAGACGTAAAGCTAGGAGTGTGCGGGGTGTGGTGCGAGGGGCCCCACTCCGAGGCGTGGAGCAGCGGCAAGCGAAAAACGCGCGCCTGTGTGCCTGTTTATTCGTGTCACTGCTGCAACTAAACTACGCTACCGTTGTATGATTTGTGTGTACCGTACCTATCTAATAACTATATAATAGTCGTGTAACTATTAACTATGAGGCGGAAACGTAAAAATGCAGTATATGGATTGAGATATAAGTACTAATGAGTACATGCGTTTTTTTCATTTTCCAAGGAAAGTAATGTTTCTACATATTTAGTAACTGGATGCTTAGCTATAATAAAATAAGTATTGTACCCATTCATTGTAAACTTTGACCGGTCAGTGAGTATAGATGCAATATAGGTACTACTTATACAACCTATACCCTAAATGTAATTGGTAGGTATGTACATAATTATCTATCTTGTAGCTATAAGATACCTAACTATAACATTTATCTTATTATTCGGTACGTACCTATCTAAACTTTCGGATATCCTAGGTAGGTGTGTACCTAAGAACATCGTAATGTTTGTTTACTTATATTACATACCTACATAAAACCAGTCATTGGGTATCGTTCGTTAGGGTAGGTACTTACCTAAACTTTGATTATTTACTAGGTATATATAATATTATGTTCATAAGATGAATAGGATTAGGTACCTACCTTGGAATTTTAACTACAATTATTATATAATACAAATTATACAAGCCCAAACACAAGGTAGTTACTATAAACCGTTGATGAGTTCCCTTAACAATTACAGTTCTTCATCATCAGACCGTCAATGATTAGTCCTACTCCATCTAGGTGTAAAGTTCTCATCAATACAAATCAATCAAGCCCAAACACAAGGTAGTTAATATAAACCGTTGAGGAGTTCCTTTGACTGTCTGTCGGCTCCATCATCAGGTCGACTCCAGACCCTTTTCAAATTGTACATACATACTTACATAACTTCACGCCTGTCTCCCACGGTGGGTTTTTTCATCACCTATCATTACCTGACATTCTGTTATCACCTCATTTCTTTCTATCACCAACACTTTCGTCTTGTTCACATTTACTTTCATACCTTTCCTTTCAAATGCATCATTCATAGCAGTGATCATTTGTTGTAATTCTTGGGCCGACGAGGCAACAAGCACTGGTCGTCGGCATACAACAATGTTTTAATCACTGTGTCATTCATCCTTAATCCAGACTCTCCTACTTTCAGGTCGTTCAAACAGCTGTCCATAAATAGGTTGAACAGCCAAAGAGATGCTACACAGCCTTGCCTAACAACTCGATTAATTTTAAACCACTCTGTGTAGTCCCCATTTATTCAGACAACGGCACTCGAGTCCTTATATAAGGATTTAAGTACCCGAATCAGGTGGCTATCCACCCCATACATGGACAGAGTTGACCACAATTCATCCCTCACCACTCTGTCATAAGCCTTTTCTAGGTCTATAAAGGCACAAAATACCTTTTGGTGCTTTGATAACACTTTCTCTGAAATGAACCGTAACGAAAAGACTTGATCCGTACATTTCTTGATCCCATTCCCTTTCGAAATCCCGCTTGCACATCCCAGATTTTACGCTCAGCTATACTCTTTCACACATTCATTCATCCTTTCAGATAGTATGACCCCCACGCCCTGGCTGCCTCTCTGGGAACTTGCAACACCAGACCAGTAAGCAATATATTGGCCATGTGTGGTAGTCATACAACCCTTTCTTTTCGTCTCGCTCATCCCTAACAAATCAATCTTTCTTGTATTCATCATCTCACATATTTCTAACATCTTGCCTTCTACGCCTCCACACACATTCAGTGTAGCAAAAAGGCAATCCTCAGCCCGCTTTCTGCCTACTCACGGGGAGACAAAACGTGACGTGTGGCAGAGCACGTCGCCGTTGGGAATTTGCCAAGATACGACGGGGCTGCCTGAGCAATCATGCTCAGGGAGGGATTTTCCAGCGGAGCTGGTACCCTCCTAGGGTAGAGTTTAAAAATCCTAATTGAATAACAATACACATATTACACGCCCCTACAATTTTCGAAAGTTCTCCTCGGTTTTCCTAGGCTTCTATTATCAGATCCTGACCTCAATGAAAAGGACCATCTCGGGAGTATACCCTTTGAATCAAAACAAGAATTCTGGAAATCCGCGCCCGACGAGGTAGAAATAAAAAAACTTTAGGCATTTAACCAATTTTTGACAAAAATGTCGTGAAAATATATACCTATAAGGTAAAAAAAATATTACAACACACTACGTTATAATAAACTATAGTAATGAGCTATAGTGTAATAACATAAAAAGTGTAATAAAATAGTACGCACGCAGCGTCTGTGTGTGAGCGTGTCTACTGGCATTAGATCGCCGCCGCGTGCCGTACGCGTCGACACCGAGTAGGTAAGATACTAGTACTTAGTACTCGTTACGTGTCAACTAGAAGTATGTTATTATCAGATTACATAAGTAGTAATAAGTACATATACTTACTTATTTCTGTTATTATAAGTTTTCGTGCGTCATTTGACATTGTTAATAATTGTTATCTCAATTCAACTCAGCACACCATAAAATATTATAACGCGAGCCGCATGTGATTGTGTCCAGAGAACAAGCCAAACGAATGCAATGCGATGAAATAGGATAGATGATCTAGCGCGGTCAATATCTCTCTCATACCTTTATTATTCAGGTTAGGATACTGGTACCGAAATATACCGGTTTTCATTTCATACCCAAAAATAGCGGTACCGAAATTAAATTTCGATACCGAAATTAAGCGGTAACCGTTATTTAACGGTATGACGTCATACCGCAATTTAAAGGTATCGTAATTTTTCGGTTATTCAGTCCCTGGCATGTAGTGACAAGAATTGAAAAGGAAATGTTATGCTGGTTTGGACATATAGAAAGGATGGATGAAAGTAGAGTAACGACAGAAGTATACCGTGCCAAAAAAATGCTTTTTCTTTCTTTCTTTCTTTCTATAGGAACATATACTGACTAGATTGGCGATATACTTACCTACTAAAGAATAGCCAAATTAAAAGTGCCCTTAACCGACGAGCTTGCATGAAAAAACTAATGACTGTTATTGAAGGGAAAGAGGTATGTTGGAACCTTATCCCCATGGGAGACACGCGCGAGGTTTTGTATGTATGGTCCGTATGGTCCTATTTCCGTACAACACGGCAATTGTCGAAGCAATGGCAACACTACAAATTGACGTCATTATTAATCATCGAATCGAATGAATGGATTGAATTGAATGATTTGAATGTGTATGTTGGCAGCAAGCACTATGGTATAATCATTCCATGGGTAGCACAAGTTGACAGCTTGGTCGCGTACTGCATACCAAAAAGATGCCTACCATTTCTATTCCATACATCGTATATAAGGTGCATGTGGCTTATTATACTAGTCACATAAAATCGGTAAATTTAATCCAAAATCATGAAAAGAATTTAATGCGGGCCTAAAAATATTCAAAACTATGGCAACACTGTGGCAGTTGTCAAATATTAACACCTCCCATTCCCATTCCTTAAAAAATGGTTTCACTCGAACTCGACCACTCGACTAACTTACCATAGACAGAATATTGTAGATTGAGGGCTGTCAAAACTTTAACTACGATTTTATTTTAATTTATTTTTATTGCAACTGGTAACAGTTTCAGAATAAGCAGAATAATCTGTCACTTTTTATTGTCCTTTTTGTAAGGAGAACATGGATATTTTCAATTTCGTAGTTTAATACTAATAATGGCTTCATCGGTGCAAAACAATCGAGTATCTTCTCCTGGATATTGTGTGTGTTGTAGAACGTGCAATATGTGGTGTTGGAGAGCTTTTAAATGGCTCCCAGTATTGTTAATAGTGTCTATTATAACTTGGTCTTATTATGCCTACGTTATCCAATTGTGCATTTGTTAGTATTTGAATAAATTGTAAATAAATAACAGATAAATTATGTATGGATTTTTTAACGTTTACTCAATAATAAATTCTTTTACAGTTACCATTGAGAGTACGGTTCAACAGTGTATCTATTTGGTGTTATATCATATTCTTCTGATTATGTTCGCGTGGTCGTATTGGCGGACTATTTTTGCAGAAATCAAACCAATTCCTGAGACGGTGAGCTTAGCTTTCTAATGAATTATTCATAAATCATGGCAGTTTATAAATGGGCGCCACCAAGTTGTTTTGTACATTGGAGAAACCTTTTATTAATATGTTTTGCCGTAGTTTCCTGTCGAAAGTGAGCCAGTGGGGCGAATGAGTCTATAATAGATAGTACTATTCTTGCACTCAAATATGGTTTACTGATTGAGTTACTATTCACACATGATTTTTTAATGAATACCAATAAGCAACAGATAAGTCGATTGCAGAGTAGTAAATTACGGTTTATGTTTAAAAATAGTAAATAAAACGTAAATATGCAGAGAAAGCATTAATATTCAAACACCTTGATGATATTTTCATTGACTTTGATAAACTTAAAAAATGTCTATTATTATCAATGTTTCGTATCTGACCTACTTTTCATCAATACAGTTTTACTTTAATATTTTTGTCCATTCTGAAGTCTTTCTCAAGGCATTAAAAGCTATAATACTCTGAATCATTATGATGAATCATTTTACTAGATTATAACCATTAACATTAATTCTTGTTTATGACCAGGAGGTTTGAAGGATTAATTTTATACTATTTTACATCAACAATGTGTTGTGAATTCAAAGTCAAGATTCATAAACAGCAGGACCATTTGTCATAACATACACAGCTCCGTGCATTTAAATCCTTAACTATAAAACTATGAACCACATGGTTTTCATCAGTAATATTAAGACTAGTAGTAAATTGTGTCCAATGTAAGGGCCAAAATTGCAGCAGAAATTAGAAGATATTCACCGTCTTTAAATACAAAATAGCTTTTTAAGTTTACTATACAAAAGGTAAACTGCAAAATACATCCTGATAAATATTCAGTTATTATTCTTTGACAATTAACAACCAAAGAACATTTTTTTTTATGGCATAAACCGGTAAACGAGCAGACGGATCACCCGATGGTAAGCAATCGGCGTCGCTCATGGACACCTGGAACACCAGAGGCGTTACAAGTGCGTTACTGGCATTTTGGAAATTAGGAGTTTGAGGATCATTGGGGATTCAGGGATTGGCCTCCGGTAACCTCACTCACACGACGAAACACAACGCAAGCGTTGCTTCACGTCGGTTTTCTGTGAGGCCGTGGTATCACTCCGATCGAGCTGGCCCATTCGTGCCTAATCATGGCTCTCCCACACTTAAATTATATTTTATTATATATATTTCATTGCATTATTGCACTTAGGGCTGATTTTTCAATCATCAGTTAATTCTTAACTGTAGAATAAATTGACATTTGACTGTTTTTAGTATGGAAGAATTGACAAATATTCAAAGTTATTCCTCAGTAAAAATTTATCTGGTGTTAGAAAAATCGACTCTCGGGGAATAAACATTTGCATGTTGTGTTTTTACTGATCATCCTAATTTCATTTTCTCTGTTTCAGTTTAAATTACCAGAGGCTGAATTAGAAAAATTATTGAGCGCAGAAACCGAAGATGCGCAGCGGTCTATATTGGATAACTATGCCAAAGACCTCCCCATAGTTACCAGGTATTATGTTATATTGAACTTTCTTGTTTACAAAATGCGTTACTACATAGAGCACTGAGTTATTCCATTCTCAGTCTCGACCATTCCATTTGATACTGTATATTGTATCTAATATTTGTATCATAAGAGACCCTTTTTTTTGAGGGGCGAAAATCATCTAATGATTTCTCCCGCCTTGGGTTAGGCGAGTGGGTGTGTCAGATCTTTAGAAGTTAACAAACCTGGGATTTTGACGTTGCTGTTACCATTCAGGTCATTCATTGGTTCAGCGGTTTAGGCGTGATGAAACTGACAGACTACAGATACTTTGGCATTTTTTTTTCCCGCGGATCCTATTGATCGTAGCTTCTAAAACCTGCCTTCCCCGACGAATGGACTATCCAAAAAAAAGAAATATTCTATTCAAACCTTTACTTCCAGTAGCGCATTAAACAACCACGGATGGAGCCCAGTAGGGTCGATGCCAATACGGAGCCACGGAGAACCTAACGGGTTACCGGGGCTCCGGCTCGAAGTGCAGGAGTAGGAACGGTGTGGTTTTTAGTCAGTAAGAGTCTGACACTAAGGGCGGGAGAAGTCATTCAATGATTTTCCTCCCTTAAAAGAAAGCTCATTAAACAAACTCTGGAGTAGACTAAACGAGAGCGTTGGCGCTCGAGTACGATCTTGTGTGCGATGTAACTCCCCTCACATCCACCTCATACTTAGGAACGTTATACACAGCTGGATTCGTCATCGTCATATACAATGACTTTAGTAGGTATTATTATTATTTCCTCCTAGAGCAACCTTACCGACCTTATAATCCCAACCCATCCTTCTTTTCCTTCCCATTATTATTATTTCATTCTGTTCCTTTTTTCTCAATTCTAGAATTGTAGAATATGTAAGAAAATTAGTGGCGCAAATTGTACCCCCGGAAACAAAAAAAGAGATAATAGAAAATTTTGCCAATACCATGCCCGTTTTGACGAGGTTTGTCCATTTTCTTACTGTGTAGCTAGAATTGAGAGAAAAACAATCTCTAAATTCTATATGGTCCCAAGTTCGACCATTGAACTTGCGACCGTAGAGAATTTGTAATATTTGTATTTCGGTGGCTATCCTTGTTTCAAGTAAAATATTATTGCGTTTTCATATATATACGGCTACATTCAGGTCAAGGTCGATGTGAAAAGTTCGTAAACTATACGCACGCTTTCGTCAATTGACGATTATATAACGAATGCTTCCATCTTGCCTAGGAACAACAGTCGAATTCGAAACTATGTTACATACGGAGCGGCAGCGTTGTGTCATTTACTCCGCCTGTCGTCATATGTAGTCTGCATGCATTCGTCACATGACTCGTCGTGGATAGCACGTCTAACACAAAGGTACGGCCACACCGCGCGGGAGTTAAAGGCCGCACTTAATTACAATCCTCTGTGTTTCTTTCCTTTTTTCTGTCACTAAGAACTGCCTTGTAACAGAGTGGAAAAATGGTCATGAGAAACTCGCAGGCGGTGGAATTGGCGAAACATTATCGTTATGAATTATTTACAAACATTTTTCATCAATCTTGGTCAGAGTATAGCCTTAAATGTATTTATCTGATCTGTATACATGCGAAATAGTACGAGAGATGACGACCAAAATTTTTGTCTTATAGCAATACGGCCAAAACCGCATCAAATCGATAGATACGATTATCCTGAACTCGAAAATACCAATATCAGACATTTTCCGCATAGCGTTTGATCTGACCGAATTTTCAAAATTGTCAAAGAATTTTACCGAACTGCATCATACCAATATGTCTGATTTGCAGACTGTAGTTGAATGATAGTTCTGAGATACCGGAAACATATTTTTCAGACGTTAGTGGTGTAGCGCAAACCCGTAAAATCACTTAAAAAAATTAAAAATTAGACAAAAAGAAATGTTTTATAGCAATACGTCTGAAAATCTTTTTTATTAGTAAATTTTGGTTATTTGATGCGAACAAAACAATTTTCAGACGGAAATGCGAACGCATTAAATTTTGAGACCGTTTTGAAAATGTTAACAAATTTTACCGATCGGTATCATGGCAATATGTCTGAAAATTGTTGGACATGTTAAAATAAGTTGTCCACATGTGCAAAAGATTTATATCAGACAAAATAAGTGTAGCACCTTCTCTATCAGACAACTTTTCGATACTCAGATATTTTTGACACAGCAGAAATGGCCTCTCACGCAGTTTCTACACTTTCGACCGTTACTACACACCTAGTCGGGTTCAGAAGCATACAATCTAACGATTTTATAGGGTTTTTGCCGTATTGCTATGAGACATGGTTTTGGTCGTCATCTCTCGTACTAAAACATATGACATACACGTTAAACGTCGAATGTTAAAATTATTTCCAGAACGATGTCTGGATCGGTTCGCTACTGCAACCGGTGCGTACTGATCAAGCCGGATCGTGCGCACCACTGCAGTATATGCGCCCGCTGCGTGCTCAAGATGGACCACCACTGCCCGTGGGTCAACAACTGCGTCTGCTTCTTCAACTACAAGTTTTTCATGCTCTTCCTCGGCTATGCTCTCTTTTACTGTATATTCATCATGGCCACGTGTCTACCTTACTTCATTAAGTTCTGGAAGGTACATTTCACTGTGTTATTATTATTTTTTTTGTTTGTGTGTCAATTCTGTCTGCCAGTATTGTAACTTACAGCTCTATGTTATGGAACTTTATTTGCAAGTAATCCTTTTTTTCTTCTGAGAATGTAACTCTCTCTAAAACTGTTTGCTATGAATAGATTGAAGTTGTTTGATGTGTAACTGCACTTATAGGGAAGCAGTGGTACAAAGTGAATGTAATCAATACTTTATGAACATAATAAGTAACAACACTGACAATTTCCAGATGTATGAGGAATACAAGTATGCCCACTGCGACCGTTTGATTCAGAAAGGCTCTGTTTCTAAAATATGCATGGAAATGATTAACGTAATTGTTTATTTTCTCATTAATTATGCCTGTTTACTTTGAGGCGATCAATAGGTTAATTGTTGCTACATAGATTAGATTTTGTTGTTATATTGCTTAGTACAACGCTCAGTGCTTGATATCTTGAGTTCATTTCTTATCTCATTGTAAGTTAAATCGTTATCTTCCGCGTTGCTCGACAAGTCACTGTTTATTATTAGAATGTTAATGTTTAGCGGTGTGTCGAATTCTATAAAGTGATAAACATATAACACCATTTAACCCCTGGTATGCCGGAACGTAGATATACGCGGGACACAATGTGTTTTCTATTGTGTCTCACATTCCGACAGATAATAGGTTAATAGGACTTAATATATGGACATAATAGTCCTTACGACAAACTATTTAAATACTAAATTTGTCTGGCAATGGTGTCAAGCATAACTACATGAAACATTCTGCAGTTATGATTCAATACTAATAATACACAATGATTAGTTTTAGTCACTATCTAAGCGTGTATTTTCACGTAGCTAGGTGAAATCATCATTTTTACCTTGGCATTAATCTGATAAAGTTTATGATAACAGCGTATCACGATCGGTTCAAATCCAATGTTATGCCTTGTAGAAATATTTTATGTAATATGACCAATGTTCCACATTGTTTAAATGTTTAATTCGGTTGCGCAGTGGGATGTATATTATAATATATTTAATAATATATACGTTTAAACAGTGTGGAATATTTATAGCGATACTTAGTTGATATTTAATTTTTTTTATTTTAGCACTCGATTGTGATATCTTAGCATTTGATATTGCTATAGCTAATTTCAGTGAATCATTTTGATAGCATTTTATCTTTAGTTTCGTAGCCTAGCACTTAGTCACGCTATCTTTTAAATATTATTATTATAGTAATATAAATGGTTTGTAGATAAATATTTTTCGTTGGTATTTTGTCTATAGTATAAAGTTTCTAGGAGGATATTGTAGATAGTATCCTTCTAGGAATTTTACACGGTTTTCCTTGTGTCTTATTGTTTGTGCTGTACGTCATTTTATTATTATGTTATTCCGCTTTCTTGGTTTCATTTTCTATTGCATCGTCTAATATAAAGTCTCTTAGGGTCGGCACGCACGGTCGGCATGGTACGGCAGATTGTGATATGCCGTGGCATTCTGCTGTAAGCCCAGCTACTCTGCCATGACCGCTACACAAGTTACAACCTTATTTCCAATAGCTTAGCATAATTCTTACGTATAGGTAGGTGCAATGGCCCGCCCCGGCAACCGGTAGGATGAAACGACTTGCCTAGGCGCGTCACAGCATTGTAGTATCAAAATAAATTAACATGAACTCTAAGTTCTTTGAAATTAGATTCAAAATAACTTGATTAGCAATAAACTCCTTTTCCATGGCATACCATGCCGTGCCGGCAGTGAGCGCCGACCCTTAAACATCGTTATGAATAAGTTATACACACAGACAGGGGGTTTATAATGATTTACAAATTCCGAAGTATACAAGATGTAACAGAATAAATTCATTCTATTTTAAAAATAAAATTAATATTATATTATTTTATAGTGTTTCATACGCATCAATTGTACTTGTATAACGAAGTTATGAAAAGAACCGACCAATCACAATCAATTTCTCTTAATAATATTTTGTAGATATTTTATAAACACCCTTGTCATGTCATGTTTTCTTATGTTTTATAATGTATTTGATTCAACAAATTAACGAAGTGCATCACTCTACTTTTCAGGATTATTTTTCAAAGACCTTCAATTCTAAAACAATGGTGGGTTAAATACTATTTTATCTAGTTAGATTTTATTAATATATGTACAGTATATCGATTGGCCTAATTCCATAGGTACATAATTATTGTAATTATAATTAAGGTATGAAAAAGTATACAACATATTATTATGTAAAAAAAATTGACAGGTCTTTGAAAAATACATACTGTATATTTGTGATAGTTAAATAAGACGGCAGATATTTTTTATCTGTCGTTTTATTCAGGGTTGATATTAAAAAAAAAAAAGTTGAATAGTATAATGTTACCAGTTACGTTATGTGTCAGTTGGTTTTCCAGGGCGACTTTGGCGCAGCAGCGAGTGCGGGCCGCTACCACATAGTATTCGCGTTCTTCGTCGCTCTCATGTTCGCCATATCGCTGGGATCACTCTTCGGTTACCATTGTTACCTCGTTATCAATAATAGGACTACTCTAGGTGTGTATTACATGATTTCTCTTTTTTATGGATAAGCTGGTAAACGAGCAGATGGATCACCTGATGGTAAGCAATCGGAGCCGTCTATGGACACCCGAAACATTCATAGCATATTGCAAATTGTACACGGGGTAAAAATCATAATGTATATGCCAAAAATAGCATTTTACTATTTTTATTAACTTATAATGATACTAGATATTACTAAAATTGACAGTTTGTTATTACACTGGCTTCTGTCGGCAGCTTCGCCCGCGTTCCCGTGGACAAAATATTATATAGCCTATGTGTTATTCCGGACTATGATCTACCACTGTTCAAAATTTCATAGCAATGCCTTCAGCCGTTATGATGAGTTTGAGTAAAAAACATATTACACACAAACTCACAAATCTTTGCATTTATGTATTGGCTATGTGCGCGACGGTGGCGACGCGTAGCGTTTACATTTGCGGAAGCTGTCAAAAAATAACAATGTAAACATTATAATTTTCTTTGCAAATATAAATAAAACCAAAAATTAAAATAGTGTGGTTGACATTATTTAAGTGCAATTTATTCAATAGTTTTACTGTAAAATCAATATAATAATAAAACCGGGTTTGAAACTATTACACATAAAATTCGTTTCCAATCACAAACTGAGACAAAAGGCAATAAATTAGTATTAGCCGAGCATGTAAGAAATGTGGAAGAACTGCGACATAACGGCCAGAGCTACTTAATACGAGCCATAGTCCATTTCTTTGCTTTAATTTTGTACTGCAATCAATACGTTTGACAGCTGATCATCCCCATTTGTTTCCAATTTCTGCCGTGTTGTGCGCTGCGGTCGTTATCTGTCCGCCACTACTCGCTTTGCACATAGCCAATAATGAAGTGTTAAGCAGACCCGATTATTTTTCGAAAAATACCATCTGTTTCTTGTGAAATGGTTTTATATATATCTACGTTATATTATACGTATTTACGTTTAAAATAATCGAAATGAGACCGCGTTGTGCTCTCTGATTGGTTGGTTCATTGGAGCCGGCCAATCAGAGCGCCGAACGCGGTCTCGTTTCGAAACTTGTACTAAGCCCCAGGCTACGTTAAATGTTAACCATAAAGTCTGTATAGTACTGTTATTGTATCTTACTAAAGTGACTGCAATTACTAAAAGTAATAAAGTGTAAAATGTATATATACAGCGTGTTAGACATATTTTCGATACTACCTAACGTTTGACATTAAAATTTTATTGACAAAATACTTCAGAAAGTTGGAACGAAACCAAATATTTGGGAACAAATTAAAAGTAATACATAATAAAATTTGATTTAGTGATTTCTTGTATGGTATTTTGTTGCTATTACGCACATTTCGTGGGTGAAAGTATCGAAAATCCGATTCTTATAGATACACACCGTATAATTGAGTTATAATTGAGAACTAAATAAAAATTTCCTTTCAGATATGCTCGTATCATACCGCCGCTTGGGCAGTCCTACCGGACAGTTAATAAACTCTATGCTTAAGAACTTGGTCCATGGTAATTGCAGTCACTACAAAAATAGAATCTAGTACCTATGACATAGAGTCGTTATTCGTGTAGTGCACACTGTAGATTTATATATAGAGTAAAGCTAGTCGGTATCTATAATGGAATTAACTTGTTGAAAATGAATATTGATTTGAAGTAAATACTTTTCTTTATGAAAACGATATTAAACGCACGGTAAAGTTTAGTGTATTTTTGTCACAGACCCACTATGTAAGAAATTCACAGTCAATAACCCTTAAATCCATAACAATAATAATTATTTTTGTACTAATAAAATAATGATTACTTTGTCAATTCCAGAGGCGTTTAGGGCGCCAATGTTCCGCGGAGGCGCTGACAAAAACGGCTTCTCTATAGGAGCCTTCAACAACTTCAAAGAAGTCTTCGGGAACAGCCCTAACCTCTGGCTGGTACCAGTGTTCACTAGGTAAAACCTTCTTTTATAAAAAATAAAATAAAAATCAATCATGGTGCATCCTGGTTATGGCAACACTAAGGTTACTATGGTAACACAGAACTTTATACAGCATGTTTGGGTAAATAATGACGCACGTGGGTAGGTGTTCTAAGCGGATGCTACAAATATATATTGTGTGTTCAGTGTGATCAGTGTGCATGTTACCTTACATGTTTGATGAAAAAAGAAGTGAATGACCAATTCTAACACTTGTCCGTGTGTGCGGAATAGTATTAAAAAATAACATAATAATACTATAGCAATGATGGCACCTTACTAACTAGGCATGAAGGTAGGATATTCCCTTTTTCACTATGTAAATATATCTATGTACAATATTACTGTGAAGAAAAATTCATTTCATTATCATCGTATCTTCAAAAATAGTTCTTGTATCTAGGTGGTTTAGTTTCAATTCGTTTAACATCCAGTCAAAAATAATTTAGAATTCGCATTGAATTTAATATTGAAATATTCTAACATAGATCAGCTTAAAGTGTCTGTTTCTGTACGTTTGTTGTTTGATAATAAATTATAAATGCTTGGGTTTTGGAGATTTGTACAATAATGTTCATGTCATCATAACAGCTCGTTCTATTTGCTACCTTACCTGTCACCTATATGTATATGTATGGCAACCTACTACTTAATATCATGTATTGCCATATATTGTATATATTTTTCATTTATTATGAACTTTAAGTAATTTGACGTGGCGTGTTTGAATATTGATCTTTTTTGAAAATAATGGTCCTATTTTTACTATTCGATTATTTAGTTCCAACTTTATTTTCCCATATCATATTCTCATAAGACTGTAATGTAGATAATTTCCCATTGTAGGTAATAGTTAAGCCAAATGTAGTTTACACTTACCGCCACGCATAACGTTCTCCTCTGAAATGGTGATCATTTTGTCAGCCTCGGAGACGGGTGCGAATTCCCCGTCCGTCGCGAACATCAGCTCCAGACATTTACCACGGCCCAGGAAACTCATGGGTACGAATCCATGGGCACTACGCGGTCAAGGTCAGACGCCAAGGAAGAACACAATCTAGCCACCGCCAATCACATACCTTGAGGATATTATACCTTAATACAATATAACAAAAGCGATATTTCCGTAACAATAATTACGTACGGTACACGATCAAATATTACATCTATGATATTGGTTTTAAGGCTTCAATTCGTTTTCACGCTGTATCCGTCCGTCCTAAGATATTTATGCTCACATTAAAAACGACGTGAGCTCTGCTAATGCAATAAGGTGTATTAAACCTTAACGCCTTATAATAAGGTCTGAATTATGAATCTTAACTTGCCAACACAAATGTGATCGGCAGCTATTTTTGTAGTATTTTTCTAGTTTTGACCGCTTGCATGTTTTTGTCGAGTTCTTAGAGAACAGAAATAAATTGTCAGATGTCCAGTCGAATGTGTACATTCTATCTCATATTTTGTCTATACGTAGTAGGATAAATTTATACTATTTAATGCAAGAACAGTGTCTTTTTGACATGTATGTGCTCAATATAACTTTATAGATACATTATTAAATTATACACAGTACGAAATAATATACTCAAGTTATGTGGGAGGTTTCAGCTGACATGTGTTTCATATTTTAATTAAAAATTACGATTAAAATATAAAGTCTACTGTGCAACATGCAAATTGCTTTTTAATGCATTTATTTCTGAGCTATATACAACACACAAGACTGAGTAAAGTTAGAAATGTATTTTGTTAGTATTTTTGTGCACAATAAAATGATTTTTGTTCTTTGATTTTGTTTTTTATTTCACTATGCTACACATTTTGTTTTCTTTTATTTGTTGCTTACTTACTGAACTGTAGAAATTAGTAAGCAAATCAATACATACATACAACTTATAATATAAATAACAATTCATTGAGATTTCATACTAATTTTCTAATTTAAAATGTCTGTGTGCTGTATATTTAACTATACATCTTTCTTCAAGTTATTATCTCTCTTTTCTCTTATTCTCTCAGTCTATTGCATGTCTTAGGGTGCTACAAAACGTTTGAATATAGTTACGGTCACATGTCCAAATAGTCAAACGCCACTCTTAAGTCGCGTTTTACAAATTCTTTGTAAAATAATAGAGATGGCACGATATTTAAGTATAACTTAAATTATGCCTTTCAGTATTCTTGCGTTATTGTATGTATTTCCAAGCGGATGTTTCTCCTCAAGTACAATACAATTAGAAAGAGATACACGTACCTGTTTAATATATTTGCGTCCCTTTTTAACTGTACTGTGATCTCTGCTTGAGTATCTATTTATTTATCATAGAAACAGAAACAGTACCGTATTACAATAATACATAATTAGGTTTACACACAAGATTATGGCAAATAGTCCTATAATACAGATCTTATAGTATTAAATCAATGTTATTTACAAATAATTACGAGTTTAAATTAACATGTTAACTGCCGCGTGGGTCACCCATCAGTGACCGGCGTTAGCGGATGTTTCGCCTTCATCAGTTTTCAGTCAGCAGTCAAAGGCTTTTGGGCTTCATATATTCAGATTCAAACAAAAGTTTTAAACTAAAGTAATAATACAATTTCTTTACACCAAACGAAAACGTATGTAGCACCCTCGCTTTGTTTTTAATATGCTGTACTATTCAAAATTATATTCTATTCGGCAATTATATAAAAATAAGCAACGTTTATTAATATTTTAGCACGGAGATGGGCCACGAGACTGAGAGATGGAGATTGTGCCCTAGAAAGGGCAGGACCGTCCCGCAAATAGTATAAGGAAACATTTTCCATTTCGCTATATTTTATTACGATTACGATATATATATATATATAAATAAATCCGTTCGACTAATTAAATTTGCTTTTCATTCATTGGCGTCATCCAACCTTTTTGATAACGATTCCAAATTAATGTCATTCACTTCTTTTTTTTATGAAGGTAGTTAGCATCGTAGGTTATATATATTGCATGCTACGTAGACACGGCTACACATCCAGCTTTACATAACCAGTATAAACTGAACGTTAAATGTACGGAAAGATGATGCGACGCGACACCAGGATAAACTGGTTTTGTATAGATTGATGTGTAGCCGTGTGTACGATTAGGATGCTTTGTCGTAGATACGGGTGTGCGCAAAATGACAATTGATTTGCGCTTGTATTTATAGATTTCGTAACGCGGTAGAGGTATTTTAAGGGGAGTTATGGCGTTGAATTTACAAAGTTGTAATGATGATTTATTTTGTATATTGGGCAGTACAGTCTATAAGGTTTACATATATCTGTTACCCGATTCAAGGATGCTCGTGATCTGCGTTCACTAATCTATATACTTAAATAAAAATGTATTTCCATTCGTCTCGCTAAAACCCGAGGAGAACGTCTGAACTGATTTGGCTAATTTTGATCTTGAAATACCATACCATGTAAATATTTTTAAGGTTCCATGCTCAAAGGTTAAAACGGGAACCCGCCCTGTTTGTCACCAGGATTGTATCTCATGAAAAGTGATGGTTCGACAGTTGGAATTTAGAAAGAATACAACAGTTTACAGTTTATTTTCTATACATAAAAGTCGCTAATGCTGTTTGTTACCCGAATGAATGAACGAATGGTACGGATCCAGTTCGTGCGAGAGTCCGACTAGCACTTATTAAGCCAGTTTTTTTTTAAATCAGTTGAATTATTTTTTTAAAAATACTAGTCTCAGAATTTTGACTTAGTAATTGCTTCGTGACAAGGTTTACCCTTTACCCGTTGCGAGCCAGAACGTAGATCTGCGCGAGTAAGAAAATGCATTAAGTTGACAGTTGTATTTTCCATTGTGTCTTACGTACGGCATTCAAGAAGTTTAATATGTAATGAATGGGTAATAATTGGAGTTCCATAGTCTCTGCCTACCCCCATGGCAGACGGGCGTGAGGTATGTATGAATGGGTGATTGGGTACAGAGTAATTTGAACAATATGAAGCTAATTGAACTGTGCGTTTTGATGTTAATTGTATTTGCAGTTCCATCCCATACCTATATAATTGGGATATCAATATATTATATAAGTCACCTGAAATGAATTATCACGGAGTTTTGTTCGATAGTATAGATTTGATAAACAAAATTTCACATTAGACTGTCTGCCCTAACAGAATAGGTTTTCATTATACCTTTTAAAGACATCGTCATAAACTTATACCCTGCGTCGTAGGAGTAATAATAGTTTTATTTATTTCTACTACTGTCACTAACATTTTCATTTAGAAGCTTTAAGCTGTGATTAATATTAAGCAATAACATCTGCAACATAAGTTTACTACAAATATCAAAAAATACCAAGTTTCTATACCATTTAAGTCTGTGGTCTTAGTTTCGTTTTACATTTAAACGAATCGAAACGAGACCGCATTCGACGTTCTGATTTGTTGGTTTATTGCAGCCGGCCAATCAGAGCACCGAACCCGGTTTTGTTTTGATCGAGAAACTCATACTAAACCCGTTCATTTGTCTTCTCTGTTAATTTTGGTGTCTTGAAAGATAAAGTTCAGTTATCACACTTTTGTCTTTCAACAATGAATTTTTTTTATAAATATACCTATAATATTTTTCAAGCATATTATGAATTTGTAGAAATATGGCTTAAACATCTTCATGACATACTCTTTTAAACCTAATAATTAATTACATATTATTCGCCAATTTAATATATTAAACGTAAATAGGTACCTAATTTATGTTTGAATTGTCAGTTTTATACAACATTCAGTCATACAATATTGCACTTAATTTTTGTATAAAGAACACAAAATTGCTTACAACCACGGTAGGTAAATACGCTTGCTTTCCCACTATTTTTATAAGACCAAATAGCATTCCTTTTTTTAACTAAACCACTAACACCAACTGCACGACGTGATTCAATGTGATCAACATAATGAATGAAATCGACGGTGTAGCTTCGGGGACGGCATCGTGTATCCTGTACCAAATGAAGAGGAAGAATCGGAGTCTCTGCTGAGTTCCGAGCGATGGGAGCGATGGGGCGAGAGGGCGCGACCCTTCGACGAACGAGAGAGCTCCTCATTCGATGAACTATGAGTGTAGGCTGTTGTAACGACCGCCTAGCGTGCAGGCTTGAGGCAAATATGACCGGTGATATCTTTGCCGATAAGACTTTTAACACTTAACACGATTTTGAGTTACATATTACCGACCTACATTACGCAAAATATTACTGGGTTTTAAAAAAATCTCAGTAGTAGCACGGAGCCTAGAATTGTGCCCGGTATATGGCAATAGGCTCATCCTCTATTACGTAGGACTCATAGCATAAATAGTGAAAAGTAGGTGTTACATTATGGCATCAAGTACCGTAATGTGCACCTCTGCCTACCCCTTCGCGGATAAAAGGCGTATTGTTATGTATTACGTACAACAGCAAAACCATTGCTGAAAGCTTATCGTAGTTAGGTCACTGAATATTACACGTTATTAAGTACACCAAAAGTCTTAAAATCAAAAGTACAATAAGCGGACTTAGTTTTAATGGGAACGAAATAAGAAATACAATAATTGCGTTCAAATTATTATAGTTTTGAAGACATTTCTGAGAATGTGTAAGATAATGTAGTTTAGTAATTCTTTATTTATTACGTCGTGTTGAGTGTTTTAAATCTGTCGAGAGCATTGATAGATTTGAGCGATGAATATAATTGTTATCGTTTAGAATTGAAAGAGTATTTTTGTTAGGTGAAGCTTTTTCATTAAAAAACTTGATACATTCATTTAATTTTAACTATTTTGTCTTTGTTAGTTGCTCAAATGCGTTAGTTATTTGTGAACATCGGGTGTTGCTATCTAATAAGGCACGAATAGTGTGATCCGCTAGTACAAAAGCAGCCATATTTATTTATTAATTAATAAATGTCATTACTAACCAGGTCTGCACTCATAGGTCGTTTACAACTCACTAAAAAGGTATGAATAGGTTATGTTATGTGAGGAAATGGTGCTGAATATAATATAGAATGTTATAGACGGAAATAACTTGGTCGTAAGCTTCGCCTTACCAAAAATAATAATAAAAATAATGCTGAATTACAATATAATTACAGTTGGAAGCAAAAATCGGAGCCAGTGACTTCTTTTTCTTCATTTTATAGAACCATCTATAATTTCAAAAAATATTCCTCTTACAATAATATGTTCTCATTTTAAAGATAACTAATTTGCCTTTTATACGACATAGCTAACTAATTAATAAAATAGGTACTTGTTTCGTCAAATATTTATCAAGAAAAGTGAAAGACAAGATGCTAGCGGCTCCATTATTTGCTCCTAATTGTATAACTATGTGATAGGATAGTTGTCTGCATTGTTTTCAGTCTGAAAAAGGAGTCATCCTTTTGATGATAAAATTGAGCTTAATTTACTTGTAAAATGGAACAATGACATTGTATTATTTACATATTATATATGTCATCGTGACGTCATATCTCAAGTTTTACATTCCTTTTAACATAATTAATTTACCAGCCAATATGATTATTTTATTTTATTTGTCCATGATTTGAAGACATGAGTTTTTAATTTTATTAAACAAATGCAGTCAACTACCCAGTTGAAAAATTCAAAGTGTATATAGAACTTTTATTTAGTTTGAGACTGTCATGGATCAGACCATCTCAATGGTCAGCGTTTTATTGTAAATGCTAATTTTAAATAAGTTTTAAATAATTACATAGCGTAATTGAATTCGTGGGTTATTTTAAACGAAACGTTCTATTAATACGACTAGTTTGTTCCCATAACTCATCTATTTGTGCACTTGCTTGCTATGGATAGAATTTCAACAAGTTTTGTAAGAAGCTTAACTCGTATACAGGGAACGCAGATCTACGCGAGACGATGTGTTTATTATTGTCTCATATACAAGAGGTTAATAACTTTAATATCGTACGAAAAATCCACAACATTTGTGCATACTAAAGTAGTCTCTAAACACTAAAAATAAGGTCTAAAATGGAGTAAATGGAGAGCGGTCACCGGTAACCGCTCGGAGACTCGGCAGTAAATTTCTAAATGCATTTTAAGCACACGCATCGTAATGCAATTATTTAAACTAAGTACTAAGGCAAAACCCACGAATTTAATTACGCCATGTAAATATTATGTATAATAATTTTATTTTGGGAAATATTTCTCATTTGGTACTTAATATTATTAAAATGTGTGTTGATTTTATACTATTACGCTCCATTTGAAATAACAATTATATATATACAAAAATCTTATTTACTACTTAGTCAAGCGATTTCTACTTTTATTGCGTTCGAGATAAAGTATATATTTTGTTTCGGTAAATTGGAATTAGCATTGATTCTTATTAACCAGCTACCTAAAGCATTATAAATGGGTTTGACATAACTTGTCGAATGCCAGTGTCGATCTCGTACATTTATTTTTTTAATTAAGCATTCGATCGACTAGCGAAGCTGAATCCCATATTTTGTCTAGAATATATTGATTTAAAGACTACATTATTTTCAGAAATAACGCTCATAGATTTTCAATTAACAAGTAGAACTCATATATTTCCGTCCGTTCTTCGAGTCGAAGAAAGCTTGGGTTCCATATCACAGTTCTCAAATATCATCTTTATGTCTGTGGCATAGTTATCAGAATCACTTGTACCTAGGTTATTCAAATTTTTATTTCAATGGAGCATGAGTCGTGAATCTCTAGGTAAATGAGATTTTTTATTAGTTAGGTAGTTAATTTTTTGTAACTGTTATGGGAGTCCAGAGCGATGATAGCACGTGAGGCTGATGTTCAAGACTAGAAGTCGCTAGAAGCCCATACGGCAAAGATCGGTGGCAAAGTCCAAGTCGTACATTCATCAATTTTGAACTTGTATTAACAAAACGATAAGGTTGCAAATCTATTGAAGATTGACTTGCGACTTCTTTGTCGGGACTCGCGATAGTCGGTCTAGGTTAGTTCATAATATTATTCTGAAAGTTGCATAAGTAGTAGTTTTAATTTTGTATATTATTTTTAAATTTTAACCGACTCCAAAGTCGAAGTAGAAGTAAGAAGCGTTCAGTTCGTTATATTTTTTCTTAGTAATTACTTAGCTTTCTATTTAATATTTATCAACAATTCCCTAAATCTTATTCTTTACTTAACAAAATTATAATTCACGTTTTCCATTTTATATATTCTACGAAACTTTTATAATGAGGACGTATATCTTGGCGGTACATAATAAGTATTATGTGCAGTGTAAATATAATATAATAATATATATGCTTTTAATGCAGGGACGAAATAAAAAATATTTTATCATTATTATTACTTTATTAATTAATATAATATAAATGCAAAAGAGTGTCTGTCTGTTTATTTGTTTGTCTTTCGCGGCAAAACAGAGCTGCGAATTGACGTGATTATTTAAGTAAAGATAGTTGAAAGGATGGAGAGTGACATAGGCTAGGTTTTGTGTGTCCCCCCCTACTTCCCTAATTAGGGGCACATTCCGCAATTTTCGAGATAGAACGCAAAAAATTGATATGTGGACTATTTGTGACTGATAAGTGCATATTTTTTTATCAGCTTTCAACCCCTTAAAAAGAGCATGCTAAGCCGCGAGCAGCTCTAGAGAGCTAATCTGCTATACAATTTAATCAGATTATGAAATCTCAATTTTATGTGATGATACAAATCTATTATGTATACAGAGCTAAGTGTTATTAGAGCACGATCTCATATGGGGTTATAGAACAGGTAATTTCCGACATTATTGTTGAATAAAGGGTTAGGCGGAAATGAACAGTTATTAACATATTAAACTCTTAATGCGACAACTATAAAATTTAATAAACAAAAAAGAAACGCTCTTGACGTAATTTTCTTTTTTAAATTACATTACTTTATTTGCTTGTTCTCATCATCAAGTAGGTAAACAATACTGTCGCGGAGAACCTAACGGGTAACCGGGGCTCCGGCTCGACGTGCAGGAGAAGGAACGGGGTGGTTTTTAGTCAGTAAGAGTCTAACACTTCCTCCCGCCTCACCCAGGCGGGAGCAGTCATTCGATGATTTTCCCCCCTTAAAAATAAAAAAAAAAAACAATTAATACTAATTTTAGACATAGTTATACCCAAATTCACGGAAATTAGAAAGTGGGTTACGTACTTGTTATTTTAATTGTTATGTCGGAATTGTAATTTATTTTTTAAATACATTTATATTTTTTTACTTATTTATCCAAAACTACGAAATATTGATACTACGACGCTATTTTTTTAAATGTAAGTACTCACAGACTAGTGTTATATAATAACCCGAGGTTTGTTGTTGAAAATTAGATTTATGGATTTGAATTGGTCTCAATGCAACAAAAATGTGACAGTAATGTAGTTTTTAATTTTATTCCAATTGACCTTTTATGACGAATTACTTTTGAAATTGATGTTATTCAAATTTTATCGAGTTAAATTGCTATCTAAAATTTTCAGTAAGATGAATTAAGTGTGATTCTATTATGTGGTACGTATAAAAGATTGCATATTTTCCAAAATGAATGAAAGATTTTCTGAATTGCGAAGATTGTATAATCTAAGATTGATCCAAACGATTGAATATCATTTAAAACATATACCTACTTTCATTTATTCTTTACCTGACTGTAGGAAGGGTGTTTTTTTAGAGTAGGTATAAACGTAGTAACATTAGCATCGACATGCGACAGTCAGTTAATCATTGTAATTTCTCATAGTCATAAATCATGATACTCCCAAAAAATACTAAAATCTTCATCGAAATAGAATACTAGTCATATTTTTTTACATGATAAGTCATCGCAGATGCATTTATTGTACAATTATATTGCTATACTTGTAGTATAGTCAGGATTATTACAAAATTATATCGTATATTTTTTTA